GACATGTCAAGTGAGACAACAGATAATTGAACTTCCCTTCAGGGATTAATAAAGTTCTTCTTCTTCATCTTCTTCTTCTTCTTTTCCCCTATATGCCTCCAGTCTCACAGAGAGGGTGAATTTTACAGTAGCATGCTTCATGGTACTGTTCTAGATTTGAAGCTGATAATGAAAACACACAAAAAAACACCTTTTTAATGATAGCATTGACCCAATTAAACCAGAATTTGAGAAAAACTGAGTTTTCCAGATTTCGTTTAGGAGAAAAATTGGTCTTATGTTAGAGTAAATACGGTAATGAGATGCAACAACCAAGATAAAACTGGGTCAAGGTTGCATTGACTATAAGATGAAACCAAAACTCTGTCTTATATTAGGGTAAACACAGTAGCTAATTAGATACAACAGCCTTGAGTAAAGTGGGACTTTCTTCTGAGACCAAGACAAAACCGTAAATTGACTGTTAGAGGAGACCATCACAGGTACTTAAACTAACAGATTTGGCTCAACACATAACTGTGCATGGATGTTTTTTTCTTTTAATTCCGAGTGCACAGGCATACCTTAAGTGTCACTTCCTCTCTAGTGTCTCTCTATTCACTTGGTGTTATTTTGATCTTCACAGCTCCAACCCTGAGAACCTGAGTAGTGCACTCTGTTCGCAGAGAACTCCCTGAGGCCTTGCTACCATCAGTGTGTCTAAAATGCGCTACACTGCATGAAAAAAAGTCGAAGAAAGAAACAAAACAAAACCCAAATCTTACAACGGATAAGAAGCTATCACACTCAGTACTTTTCCTCGCCTCAGGATACAAATAACTTCAAAGGTCTGTCAGAAAGAAAAAAACAGCAAAGACCTGGAAAAGAAGCAGTCCCCCCTTAAATTTTAGCTCTCCCTCTTTTTTTCTGCTGCTTTCATTTCCAGGGATGAGGGCCGGGCTGAATGCAGGACAATGCCATCAGGTTTGGTGATGCCTTCACTGTCATGGTTGAAGAAGTGATCTAAGTTATTCTGCAGCACCCTGAGAACAACTTGACTGGAAAAGAGCAGAAGAAAGGAAACATTCACTGAGGGCACTCTGCAGCTGACCATGCAGGCACTTTGGCTCTGGTAACCCTGTCCTTCCTGCAGCCATATTAATTATGATACTGCATGCATAAATCCATCAAAGACATCCACTCTGTATACGTGTGCATTTACATTATACGCTGTGCATTGTGTTTTAAAATTATGGCTGCAGAGTGAATTATAGGCCCAGCGAAATGAGTGATAAATGTTCAAGGAGTCCATTTGCAAAAAACCCCATGCTTCCCCATAATCACGACTTTATTGAATCCACTATGAGCTATCAACCGAGTTGTCTGCTGAGCCCTAAAAGCATATAAATATGCAAACACAGCATATCCAGAAAAAAAAAGCCTCTATGTGGCATTAAATATTTACACGCTCTGCATAAAACGCTTACAGACTACATAAACAAAAGACCCACACACATGTACATACATGCAAACTCTGCCATGAATATTCGCGGAATTTCAATTTCGAACCCGTCCTCACTTTACACTACAACAAGTATTTTTACCCGTACATCTGCCTGTCTTCCTACAGCCTTTTTCTGCCATCTCTCATATGCAGAAGCATACATCCTCATCATCATTATTAATGCAGCAGGGTTACATGGGCCTCTGACAGACTCCTACTTCAAACCAGCCTCAAATCAAAGAAAACCACACGACTGTCATCTTTACAACACTGTGACAATGTACAGCATCGGCTCTCTTTAATGATCCCATCTTTTAAGATTGCATCTGAAGCCCGGTGCTTGTCTCCTGCAGTAAATATCCCACATATGCTATGAAGGACTGATTATTTCACACCTTTAAGAGAGTTTGACTTCCTTCTTGATTGCAGCGACAGCCTTTAAATGTCATCATGTATTGAAAGTGATGCGTGCAGTTATGTGGTTGACTGTTGTCTGCTCGGCAATGACAAAAGTAAATGAAAGAATGTTTTTCTTTCTGTGCAGCAAGGAGATCTTTGAGGCAGAGGCTCTTAAATGAATTAATTGGCTATTAACTTAAAAGGGTGAAAGCAGAGAAGATGAAGCGACCATTACTAATTGAAGGATGGCTCTGAAATGTGCTCACAATGTACTTTTGTTATTTGAATATTTGAATAGTATAAAATCATTGTCTTGGTGATGTAAGCACTGCTCCAGTACACTGTACAAGTTCTTTTTCGTACCATATCCAAGACTGTGATGTTTTTTCTTTGACAGTCTTCACTCTCGCTCAAACTCTTCCTTTGATTGACCTACTTTTTAAAATGCTAATAAATCAAGGAGGAGATGTTTGGTGTAGACCTGTCAGATTAGCTCGCTGTGGGCTTACTTCACACTCCTGTCAGCCCCTCTGTTGTCCATGAAGTCGCTTTTTTTTCAGGGTGGTAAGGCAGCGCGGGGGAGATGAAGTTATTTTACACTTAAGATGATAATTACTCTCTTTTCAGAGACCAAGAAAAGCAAATTAATCTGAAGGGTGTGCCTTAGTCATGAGGGCAGCTAAATAGACCTACTTGCTTGAAGCACTGGTGCAGTCAGACATACTCTTTGGTGCAATTTCATGTAAGCCATCCTGCAGTCTTTAAAGGGGAAGTCTGGTATTTTAAAACCTGATCCTTTATCACGTGATGGTTGGGGATCCGATTCAGGTCAAAGTTCATTTTTACATATTATTGCTTTGAGACAGCTGCGCTTTTGTATCCAAATGACTTATTTTGACATAAGTATAATATGTCTGTCAGACCTAAGCAGCATTTATGCTGTGTGTCCCTACATCACCATGACCACTGAATACTTCTACGCCAAAGGGTTCCTGTTGTTCTGCAATAATCCCTCAAAACGCTCGCCATATCACCAGCCCTGTTTCTCTGTGAAGGAAGTCTCCTTGCTATTACCTGATGCTTTCATTCAGTGTTTTGGTCCTGGGCTGTTATTTTGTAATGATCTTAAAACAAGTCCCCCCTGACCTTTCCATGTCAGCTGTAATTACACTAAGTTAATGTTTGAATTGTATCAGGTCACAGGTGATATATCTTCGTGTGCGGCCTCTCCAAAAATGTAGGTACTGGGAGATTTTTTTATTCCAGCATGTGATCACTCCCCTCCCCCTTTGTCTTCTTTTTTTGTCCTCTCTGTCTCTACCCACACTTGTCATTCCACCCCAAGCTAGGTACCTATTTTTAATGTAAATGAGACTGTTTTCCAAATGTTTAATCCCTAAAATCAATATTGTATAGGTACAGCAAACAACCTGTTAAATGAAGAGGGATTAAAGGTTGAGTGCATTTGTAAACCAACCAGACCAGGATTGTTCATTAGTTACAGGCTGCACAAAAAAGCAAAAAGGCTAAGAAGCAAAGATATGATAGATTTTGATTTTATTTTGGGTAAAACTTGAAGGAAAGACTGAACTGACAGCAGCATTTCACATAGACAACATGCACCTGGTGTTAAAGCCATGTGGGTGGCAGCCAGAGCTGCCAAATGCTGCAGCTGTCACGCAGCCAACACCTGGTCCAAAAAAAACCTCATGGGCTCAAAACTTTCTGAATTACTTCACTGGGTTCATAAGGTAGCAATAAAACCAGCAATAAGGGGTGCAGAAATATCATTTGTGGTATATGTGCATAGTCTGAAAGCACAAGTTGTTGCGGGCAAATTATCCATTTCAACTTCAATCTAGAGTTGCATGTCTTTTGTTGTGTTCATTGTTGGGTCTTCTTTCATAAAAATAGGGTGACCTTATTCTGACTTCCCAAAAACAGGACACTACAATAGGGGGGCAGAGTGACAGAGTCGCACACATCTAAATCTTAGAGTTTCGGGTCGGATCGAGTGTCTTTTACACTCATTTCCCAACACAAAATCAAAACTTCCCAGTTTGGGAGAGCGCCCAAAAAAAGAGGACATATCCGGGTAAAAGAGGACATATGGTCACCCTAAGTAAAAATATACTATTTTGGATCCATATAGACAATTTAAAACACAGAGGCAGAGATTTAGGCAGAGACGAAATGAAAAGTTTTGGGGAAGGTTGTTTCATGGTCAAAAAGAAAATCCGGAACCCATGCTCCTCATCCGTTTCCAAACAGCACGTCTAAAAATACATCTGCTGATCACATGCTGTGTTCTTGTGGAGACGAGTCGTAGGCGAGTGAGAATAAGATAGGCTTGGAGATGTGCGGTCATTTGATTGTGCAGCCACTCTTTGTGAGGGACGGTCACGCTCATCCAAGTGGGGTCTTGAACCTGCTGTTTGCTCTCACAGTCCAAAAGCCTGATAATGAGCTCCAGAAGCCACATTTTTCATTTGAATGAAGGGATCCACTCCCACGCTGTAAAATCTATGTCTCGTGTCAAATGCCTCTCCCGGATAAAGATTGCACTGATATATTAAGAACTAAAGCAAAGCCTGGCAATTTTTTTTTTTTATATACGTCACAATACCAAGAGTTTACACTTCAAACGGATAATGAGCCTTTTGCAAAGTATATGTGCGTTGTTATGAAAGTAGCTGTAATTTGCAGCAGAAATTGTATGTGAAAACAACATGGCAAGTACAGGCGGCCTGATCTTTGCAAGCTTCACACAGTGGCAGGTGGTACATTGTCAGCTGTGAATATGTGAACAAAAGCACAATTATAACTCTCCCACATCACCTGCTCCAAATTAGCTCGGCCCATCCTCAAATTCAGCCTTGGCGATGGACACGGAGCGGAAACGACAGCTTGGAAAGATTCTCTGTCAGACACAAAGTGGATCATGTTTAACCAGACATTTCTTCTTCTCTGTTCTGCAGCTGATTATCCAGAAATGATAAAACAACCAACACGCTGAATAACAAAGACGTCTTTTAGTTGTTCCATATTTATAAATGATATAGGAACAATGTAGCGGGTACTGTATGGTGAGTGGGCTGTTAAAGCTTACAGATTGGAATCCCACAGTAAGTAGAAGTTTTATAGCAGATATATATATTCTAATCAGCCTACTTGTGGGCCAGATTAACATAAAATTTAACATTTTTATTTATGATTTAATGAAACATCAGGCTCCTCTTTTCTGTGATAAACTCATTCACAGTAAAGTCCAACATCAGCCTCTTTCTGTTGGCATTGAAACCTATGAATAAAATTACCACAGTGCCTGAGTACGATTCTTTACCCCTTATTTTTTTAAGGGTTTTGACCATTTTCCTTTCAGCAAACACTGCCAAAGACTGTGCTCTGTTTTGTTTTCTCTCTCTGTTATGTCTTCTTCAATTTGTTTGATGTCTCTTTCATTCAGCTCCTTGTGTCTTTTGACTTCTCCCGCTGCCTTGTTTTCATCCTCACTTTGTCCCCAGCAGTAACTGGCCAACCATTAACCACGAGTCTAAATAAACAATTTAAAATATCCTCCTCGTTGTTAAGAATCCATAAATTTATCATAGTAATCATTTAAAGTACATTTACAACTTGAATTATGGTGCGCCCACATAGCCTGCACTGTAATCTGGTATATTTCACCTCCAAAATCCAACTTTCTTTGACTAGTGCGAGTGCACATTACTTCCTTGACCATGAGAAGGGCTCTGGCATGTTAAGGTTGCTCCTGCACGAGCACAAGCAAAATGCAGTGAAGCACCTGCTGTTTTTGACTTTCACCCAAATGTTGCACGTCACATGGCAGGACAGAGAAAGCAGGTGAACCAAAATCCTGTAAAGTTTTTTCATCAGAAGCAGCAGAAAAATACTCCTCCATTGATTTTTAAAGAGTGAGAGGCAAAACGGTAAAAATGTGGGGCCTGTACTGATAGAAACTGGGAATTAATGATTCAAAAGGACATAATCTGCATGAGAGGAGGCATTGATCAGTATTACAGTTTCTAGCAAGATGATGAGGTCAAAGTTTAGAGAAATGTACACTGACTTACGGGCGGACTTGAAGGTGTTTGATATGCTATACCAATTGTAATGAGGAGAGAGACACAAAGACACATTGCTTACATTAGCTCATGTGCCAAAAAGTTAGCGTTACAATGAAATCCAATGATCCAATAGTAGAGGAAGGGGCAAAATAATGTCATACATCCATACCACAGTTTGTACATTAACTAATATGAAGTGTGCATTGCACAGGAAAGCATGCTTGATAATCGCCTCTATTCAGTCTAGTCCTTTTGACCTTTGAAAAGAGTCTATACAAAACGAAGCATTATTAAACTTAATACAGCCACACAGGAAAGGCTTACAGAATTGAAACACTGAATTAGATTAGATTAGATGGTGTGCATCAGCTACAGTGTTCCCATCTGTCAGATATGTCATTTGTGTCTCTGATTCACCCTGAGCTATTCAGACTCAACCTTTTTAGTATTTCACCAGCCAAACTATTCAACTTCAGTAATCTAGGGTTCGATGAGCTCTTACTCTTTCTTAGCCCAACCCAATAGTTCATAATTAAAAATAGATGAGGTGGACAAAGCCACAATGCTAGAGGCAAATTATAAAACAGACGTAATATGGATGGTCTGGGTCTCAGACAGAGCTTAGACTCTCCAGTGTGATTGGACATAGTTTACAGTATAATCACAGACCTCACATTTTAAATCATCAGTAGCGGGTCAATGAACAGTAGAGTGAGAAGTTATTGCTTTTAATACAGTCCTTCAAGAAAATAAAGTATTTCTTTGCCTTCCAAGGAATTGATGGGGCGGCCACACTTCTGTCACCATGGTGATTGAGTAACCTCACACTCGGTAGTGGTTTCCGCTCACAGAGTTGTTCCCTTCATACTGGATGAGAAGCAGGGAGCAATCACAATGAATGACCTGGAGTGTCGGCTTTTCCTCTCACAGAAAATCACAGTAAAAACCAAGCCAAGAGTCCAAGTCTCTCATAAAGTCACAAAGGAGCTGTGAGTCATTTGGAGGTTCATGGTCTTTCTCTTTGGCTTTTAGAAAGCACTATATTCACTAGCTTCACAAAGACAGGTTCAGACCTCTTTTTATAGGTGCTGCAATTTTAGATGACGGACATTTGGTGCTGACAGATGGAGTCTCTAATGGCAGCATGGATTCAAGCTCATTTTTCCAGTACAATTTAAACCACTCTCAAATCAAATCATTATATCTGTCTTTGTATACCAAGCTTATTGTGAACTTGAACAAATAAATGGAATGTTCACAATTTGATGGTTTGAGTGGGCTTTATTCCCTGTTAGATCTAGAGCTGAGAAATAGTGAAGTTTTTTGTACATCATGAGTCTATCAAAGTCAACCATACCAACGTCATGAGCAAACTGAATATTTGCTAGGTTAAAAAACATCACATGAGTAAATCCATGTGATTCAGAAAGAAAAACAAAGATGTGTATTTGGAGGTTAAAAATCTAGTCAGGATTCCTGTCAGTCATCAAACAACAGTCCTTTTCATATTGCAAATTCAATGTACAGTATTTCAAAGCCAAATGATCTGGATAAATGGCAGAGGAGCTGAGTGGAGGAGACATCTACCAAATTGAAGAAAACGTACACAGAGAAACTACAAACTGTAACACGTTACAAGCCTTGGCTGTGCTCCAGGACTGGTTGAGAGAGAAGATGCACCACAAAGGTGATGGAGAAATAATTCTTGAGTAGGTTAGACTTGAATGTTCAGACTTTTGAGGTCTGACTATCCCTTTAACAGAAACAAGAAGCCTAAATGAGTTCCCACAGCTGGATGGCCGGGGTTTTTCTTACAGTTAAGATAAGGAGTTCAGATGTACTTGGGAGCTCTAGGGCTGCTGCAATTCAACATCTAAAGGAGCTTAAAGCTGTGAGATGGCTCATCAGGGATCAGTATTTCCTTAAATGAAATTTAAGGAATACCCAGGCGAGCTTTAAAAGTGATCAGTGAAGTCTTAAAATCATTGGTACAATGTACAGTGGAGAGGAGCCAGGACAGGAGTGACGGGGTGTTGAAGATGTTCTTGCTGTTTAGCTTTGTGTCTGATACCCATAGATGGCACACCACAGAGTTTAGGCCATCTGTCACATTCTGAACCAGCACAAAGGACCGGTGACCAATGGTCAGATCACAGCGGTGACACTGCCCCCCTCGGCCGTAATTTGCACTGCATTTGCCCGCTAATTCCTACTGGATAAGCTTGTGAGGCGAATTTCGGACAGCAGGAATTGTGAAAACGCACAAGAACCTGGGGATTTACATAAAATCACGCGATAATGAGTTGTCTCTATGAAGACAGCCACATAACCATATAAGCAGTAGATTGTGTCCTTCCAGAGGAGGAAATCCACTTCTAGTCTTCTAGAATCAGCATCTTCTCATCCATGGTGTCAACAGGGTGAAATACTGTCGAAAAACCTTTCACTTGTTCATCCCCGCCCATTTGCATGGTGTGAAATATGATCCGCCTGAAAGGGAGACAGATGTTTTATTTTGTGTCTGTGCCCAACTTCCTTTGAATTTATCCAGCATGCAGCAGCATCCGGGAAAAATAGAACTCTTACGATCGGCTGCGTAGTCTGCTGATCCGCAGCAGAACGGAAAAAGGTGGCAGAAATTGACACATTAACTTGAATGGAAACGATCAGCTGCGATCGGCGCATACGGCAGCCGTTCCAGATGCCGTGGAACTTGGGGGTCAGTTTTGCAGATGTTATCGTCCAGGATTATACACAACAGTCCTGGACCGTGATCATTTTTCTTAAAAGTGCACAGTGCTCTAGTTATTGTTTTGCGCATAGACATATTTAAATCAATATTTGTGACTATTGAAAATAGGGGAGAAGCTTATCAGACATGTCAAAACATTCAGGTAATTTACAGACGTCGCATTCCCAGTATGAATGCACCACATCAATCACAAGTTACAGTCTCCAGGTAACATAGTGATCCACAGTGAATAATGGTTTTGAAAAATTTGTAATGTAAGAACTTCTGCACTCTGTAGTTCACACACGGGCACACATGAGTCCCCGTTTGGCTTTTCTTTGAAGCGTGTCGTCCTTTAGTCAACTCAAGCAGAGAGCATTGTTTTGCCTGCAGTTCAGGGACAATAAAATGCTCAGATGGAAAAGTGCCATGTTGATACCAAACAACACCTCAGTCACACTGCGTGTACTCCAAACCCCAGTGTACCTTGGGAAGCATCATCCTCAAACAGAATCGCTCCCCTCAGCTATCAAGACATCAAATCCGCTCTTAGTGGGTCTTGATAGAATGATATCAGAACAAGCTGATGCAACTCGCAGGGGAATTATGAAACTGCGCTCAGCTTCATCTGCTCAATGAAAATTTCATCAGCGGCATGTTTTCCGGGCCAAGAAGGGACAAGTCTGAGCAGCGGGGGTTCAGCTCTGTAACTGCATATAACACTTATACTTAGCAGTGAAAAACACTCAAACTACAGCTAAGGACATTTCTATTAGAGCTGCTGGCAAGTGAATAAATTCAGGTAAAGGTCAGTGTCACAAGTAATCCATCTGCAAACCATGCAGAGCAACAATAACTGGATGAAGCAGAGTAAAACACCCATGAAATAAACATTGTAGTTATAAAACCCCTGTTTAATAAATCCCAGCTTGCTAGGGAGACTCTGTAAGACTCTTCCCTGAAAAGTAAACTGCGTTAAGGATGTGATTTTGCAGTATCACTCTTATCTATAAGAATATCATTGAGTCAGCATGAAAACTTCATTTTGAGCTCCAGACCTCGTGACTCAAGGTGTCTCTCCGGCTGCAGGTTGTAGGTTATCTCTGCTGCTCAGGGAACAGGCGCCTGATAAATTATCAAATACATCTGCAAAGTACAGCCTGCAACTACTCCATCTCTTACAGCCCGATTCTCCTCAAAGTAGGGTCAGAAACCCTTGGGGTCCAAGATTTTCCCATTTCCCAACATTTTTTTTATCTAGCAAAGCACTATATTTTATTAAGAAGGACAGAATTTGAGTTTCCACTCCCCAAACTGTTGAAAGGACTCTTTTGTGCTCAATTAAAGCCAAAACTGACTTTTTGGATTCCCATGTCAGCTTCCCTGGTGCTGACTAGGCTGTATCTTGTTCAATGCCCCAATTTCAGAGCACTAAGCTCTACATGAAGCCACCATCTTTCTCAGAACAAACACTATACATTTTTTAGCAATCAAATATGATCTCTGTCTCCTTCTCTCCGCATTCGAAACTGGCTGCTGAAATATAAATGTAACCTTCATTCGCCCTCTCTTTGGCTCACACTTTAAGCATCTGTCTACAACAGCTCGGATACTGAGCGGTTTCCTGAAGGAAAAAAAGTCAGTGTAGTGGACGGGGATGTTGGAAACACACACACACACACGCACTTTCATAATAAATGAGGATTCTAGTTTCACATGTCGCTCCCAGGCATATCTGACCCTTTCATTGTAAATTAGATTTGTCTTTTCCAGACATTATGTCCCACCTGTGAGGTGATAATTCTGTTTTTACAGCAACTCGTTCAGATGTTAACAGAGGTGAAGAGACCCACAAGGCCTATATGCTTTTTTATTTCACATCCAAGTCAACACTGGTAGAATATGACAGGGTAATGTGGACAAAAATTGAAACCTGGGAATTTTTCAGCCCAACTCTTTAAGCAACTTTGAGCAGATGCTTCCAGGCTTTCTGATATCTGTTGCAACTTGCACAGCCACACAATCCAACAGACACAAGTTGGGTCTGTTTAGATGGAATGAGTTGGTCATGCTGCTTGAAGACTTACAACTTCTTCCTATGGTTTAAGTTCAGGCCCGCACAAACTACCCCCTTGAGACAAATAAACAGGTTGGGAAATGTCATGTCCCAAGAGTTACGTTACAATCAGTTAAGATTATACGCTGCAGGAAATGTAGAAAACTGAGACAAAGAAGAAAAACAAAAAACAGCAAAAGAAGCCCTCTCCATTACTCAACTGTGGCACACTCCCCACATTATTCAATATCCAATAGGTTGTTTATTGAAACACCCAAATCACACAAGTCCTGTTTTGAAATCTTTCACTTGACATCCTGTCATCACAGTAGATGATCCATGCATGCTCAAGGCTTGTTGATGATGAATCACATCGATCAAACACTAAGATAAAGCAGCGTGACGTCTGTAGTGGCCAGCTTCACATATATATTACAACAGCCATGCGAGAATGTTTATATTTAACACAAGACATCCCATTACCAGCTGTAGGAACCTACTGAAAGACCTTTGTTAGTTACCAGTTACCACCATAGACTGTATATAGAATGGACGCCATCTGCCTCCTCGCTGGGTGAAGCCACCCGAGAACTGCACCCTTCTGTGATGGGCTACAGTATAGGTCATAAATCCCACCTCATGGAGTTGTGGACAAACCTTAGAAATTAATTACACAAAATATAAATTTTTCTCCCCCCTGCTTGTCATGTTGACATGTAGTTATTAGGGGGTTCATGTTATCTATGATTGACACTTGATACAGCCTATGGGCGTATGAAGATTGCGTAGCTCACCCGGAGGATACGCTGTTTGAGCCGAGCGTCATCACAGTGACTCTCCCGCCGAATGTGTACAATGCTACAGCACAAGTAGTTAAGTGCACTCAACGCTACTGCGTAATGTTGGTTTCAGGAAGTGGAGAGAAAACCCCAAAATACAGAGAGCTTTATGGCTTAAAATCTGTAGACTGGTGGAAGGCGGAACCAAGTCGTCCATAGTATATATGGTCTATGGTTACCACATGCTCGGTATTCAAGTGGACAGAGCAAGAATATCATACAGACAAGAATAATGGAGAAGAAAATGCAAAATTAGTCAATAACTACACTCAGGTGGCTGAAAATATGCATCCATGTTCTGCTCAGGTATGTTCAGGAAACACGTGCATATACCTCAGCATATGAACAAAATTGTTGGTACCCCTCAGTTAAAGAAGGAAAAACCCACAATTCTCACTGAAATCACTTGAAACCTACAAAAGTAACAATAAATAAAAATTTATTGAAAATTAAATAATCAAAATCAGCCATTACTTTTGAATTATTGATTAACATAATTATTTAAAAAAAACAAACTAATGAAATAGGGCTGGACAAAAATGATGGTACCCATAACTTAATATTTTGTTGCACAACCTTTTGAGGCAATCACTGCAATTAAACGATTTCTGTATTTGTCAATGAGCGTTCTGCAGCTGTCAACAGGTATTTTGGCCCACTCCTCATGAGCAAACTGCTCCAGTTGTCTCAGGTTTGATGGGTGTCTTCTCCAAATGGCATGTTTCAGCTCCTTCCACAGATGTTCAATGGGATTCAGATCTGGGCTCATGGAAGGCCACTTTAGAATAGTCCAACGCTTTTCTCTCAGCCATTCTTGGGTGTTTTTGGCTGTGTGTTTTGGATCATTGTCCTGTTGGAAGACCCATGACCTGCGACTGTGACCAAGCTTTCTGACACTAGGCAGCACATTTCTCTCCAGAATGCCTTGATAGTCGTCAGATTTCATTTTACCTTGCACACATTCAAGACACCCTGTGCCAGATGAAGCAAAGCAGCCCCAAAACATTGCTGAGCCTCCTCCATGTTTCACCATAGGGACAGTGTTCTTTTCTTCGTATGCTTGGTTTTTGAGTCTATGAACATAGAGTTGATGTGCCTTACCAAAAAGCTCCAGTTTGGTCTCATCTGTCCAAAGGACATTCTCCCAGAAGCTTTGTGGCTTGTCAACATGCATTTTTGCAAATTCCAGTCTCGCTTTTTTTTGATTTTTTTTCAGCAGTGGTGTCCTCCTTGGTCATCTCCCATGAAGTCCACTTTGGCTCAAACAACGACGAATGGTGCGATCTGACACTGATGTACCTTGGCCTTGGAGTTCACCTTTAATTTCTTTGGAGGTTGTCCTGGGCTCTTTGGATACAATTCGAACGATCTGTCTCTTCAATCTGTCATCAATTTTCCTCTTGCGGCCACGTCCAGGGAGGTTGGCTACTGTCCCGTGGGTCTTGAACTTCTGAATAATATGAGCCACTGTTGTCACAGGAACTTCAAGCTGTTTAGAGATGGTCTTATAGCCTGCACCTTTAAGATGTTTGTCTATAATTTTTTTTCGGATGTCCTGGGACAATTCTCTCCTTCGCTTTCTGTTGTCCATGTTCAGTGTGGTACACACCTTTTCACCAAACAGCAGAGTGACTACTTGTCTCCCTTTAAATAGGCAGACTGACTGATTATGAGTTTGGAAACACCTGTGATGTCAATTAAAGGACACACCTGAGTTAATCATGTCACTCTGGTCAAATAGTTTTCAATCTTTTATAGAGGTACCATCATTTTTGTCCAGCCCTATTTCATTAGTTTGTTTTTTTTAAATAATAATGTTAATCAACATTTCAAATGTAATGGCTGATTTTGATTATTTAATTTTCAATAAATTTTTATTTATTGTTACTTTTGTAGGTTTCAAGTGATTTCAGTGAGAATTGTGGGTTTTTCCTTCTTTAACTGAGGGGTACCAACAATTTTGTCCACGTGTGTACCTCAGCATATGAACAACTGGTTTAACCAGGATTTTGATACATCTGGTTTTGCTTGCTAGTCTCATCGTCTAATATGTTGAAATGTTTGTTTTACAGCCAAGAACTTTTTATTTGTGTATAAAAAATACTAGGAACATCTACCTGGTATTCTGTCACAGCTGGGTAGACATGGTGTTATTATTAAATCGAACATTTCATTTCACAGTCCAGTTAAAACCTCGGTCTGCTTTTTTGTCATCATTTACTTCAATCTGAACACTGCTGATGATGATAACATCAAACAAGGTCATCAGGACTTTGCCAAGAGTTTCTGTCGACATTTCTTTTCTCAGTCAGCTCTCCTTTTCAGAGCTCTGCAGATGCCACACTTTTAAAAGGTCAATAGTGCAACTTTTAAACCTTCTGTTTGGGATTTTCAGTTTGTGTGAATTATGGCGCCCCCTGTGAACAAATCAGTCTTTATTGATTTTGTCATCTACATTTTTAGATATTGTCTTCAGACTTAAATGTTACCCTACTGATTTTTGACAGTCAAATGTATCATCAATCATTATGAAGAGGCTTCAAAATGAATTTCAGTCTACTCCATAAATGTCAAAAACTGCCCATAGTAGCTTTAGCATTGTTGCATTTGTCACCACCAAATATGATTTAGGTAACTGCAGTGAACGGCACCTCACAGATGCACTTACCAGCTCTGCTGCTGACGCCTGGATTGCAGGACAGGATCTCGCTCCACTTTTCCTTGTGGAGATTTTCCCAATTCAGAGCGCTAATGCAAATTAACAGTTTTGCCACAGTGTCAACAGATAAAGGTAAAATGTGCTGAACCCCCTTCCACTGATAGGTTTGAAATAACACCTGTGATCAGACTTTAGCTGTTGAAAATGAATCACTGGCAATATGGAGTATTGACCAATCAGAATCAAGTATGACTCCACTTCTCTCCTGCTCCAGGCTGGCTGCAGTAGATATTGAAGTACATATTCTGGGCTGGATTCCTCTCTTTGGATTACAGCTGTTTGCTTAATTATTTCTACACTGATTTACAATAGGGTGACTCTGTCTGGAGACTGTGGTGTTATGATGACCTTGATTTTCACCCCCAGACAGCTCTGTATTGAGTCAATGTAGATTAAAAGTGCATCTCCAGCCTGTTCGATAGATTTGTCTGATTTTCTCCCTGATGTTAATTTAAAGTTATGTAACAGAGAAGGTGCAAACTCTTTCTGCTTGTGCTGCAGTACAGTTAAAATGTAGTTCAACTGATTAAACTACAGATGCTTTTACAAACACTGTTTAATGGGTATTCCTGATGAAGACATCAGACTGGTAAAAGGGAAATTTCAGTCTTGGCTTTTTCTAAAACTAACAGTTTCTGTTTTTTATTTTCAGATGTGTGAAGAAAACAGCTACAACAACATAACTGGAGATCTGAATGGGTGATATTCAAGTAAGGAACGATGGCAGAAAATAAAACAAAACACTTAATGCCAAGATTCTTTTGAGTTTTGGGACTGTTTAGTCAAAGTTGTTCCGTACAAAGTTTCCCCATGACTAGGTGGATTTGTCTCTCATTCCTCTGCATAAAGAAGTTATCCAGTTTTGGCATGAGCAAGTAGAGCAGCAATTGATTTTGTGGTGTCCATGTTGCCATTGCCAAGTCATGGTGTTCCCACTCAGGACTTCAGAACAAGACTTTATAGTTTAACAGGTTCCATTAGAAGGCATCATTTTCCAAGGTATGCACCATAAGTATTCAGAACTTCAAACATTACTGATATCAGTGTATGGCACATCATTAACCAGCATATCTTTACTGGTGAACCTTTGGCTTCATGCTCAGTACAGCCAAGGTTATTACATTTTGCAGTTGTTTGAGAAAGAAACTAAAAATTTCAACTTAAGTCACCTTTATTTCAAATCTCAAGGGTATCGAAACAAATTGCAAAAGAACCCACAAGGTTGTGATCTCCAGCCTCAAAACAGTACACAGAAATTTCAATATTTGACTCTGAAAGGGCTGTATGCAAAAGTGTTCATCTCCACATAGCAACCAGCGGCATTGACGTTTTTTCTCTCTTTCAGTCTCTTTCTCTAAGATGAATTTTGGCTTCTCTCTCAACATTGATTTTGGTCTTTGTCTCTCTGAATTTAATTATTTATTTTTTTCCCATCGCAATTTCGACTTTGTTCCCGAAATGTTGACTTTATTTTCAAACAGTTTGATGAAAGAAAATCCTCCTTGAGTGATAAATGTGATCATCCCCAGTTTTACAAAATATCCTAAGGTTTTAAACAGAATGAATACTGATCACCTGATCACAGGTTCTCTCTGCACCAGCACAAATGCACGAACACTCAGGTAGAAGTGACGATATTAAAAGAGGTTTTTTGGCCCCAGATGTTCATATCTGTATTATTGTGTTAAAGTGTGAGCTGCAGCTCTGCTCATGCTGGGAGTGCAGATCATCTGTGAGGAGAGCGGAGCACCTTGCCCTGATCATCTGACGGCAGACGGCTCCTCCCCGCTCCCTCCATCTAGTCTCTACGCAAAGCAGCGGTTCGGGCACAACTCTACTCGCGTTTCTGCACACAGGCTGGTCTGCGTGAGCCGGAGACGGAGTCGAGTTCTCCACTTTGAATTGACACGGACTCGGTTCCTCCTCCCCTCCCCTGGTGTCTGCTTTCAGACGAACCAGTGATGAGAGAGCAGGAGAGGAGAGACGGACGCTTTTCTTCTGTGTGGACCGGCAGTGCGCAAAAGTGCGCTCTGTGGTTCAGCACCCTCCTCATCATCATCATCACCATCACCCTCCGCTCCTGAGATCAGCCCGAGCCCGTGAGGCGCGTGGAGACCCTCAGCGAACCCCCGCGCGAGGTAACACGATTCTCTTTGATTCCACTTTGTCCGTGGGAGATAGCCTCCATCTCTCCTGTGTGGAGCTCATGCTGTTCACACTCGGGCTTTCATGCGTCTCACAAAGGGATGTTTCATGCTTCCAAAATCACTGCTTATTCATTTATCAATTATTGAACCAGGGTACACGCTTGCAGTAAGCGGGATCTCTGTTACATTGAATCCCTCATTGGTGTGAAATAAGCGCCTCGTATCCTCTCAGCAGTTTACGTTTAAATCCTCTGTAATAGAGTATTGATCAAACTAATTAAAATGCTTCATCTAATAAATTAGCTTTATAAGCTCCCGCGAGGACAATCCTCTGTAGATGCTACTCTGTGCCGTTTGAGCTCAGCTTCACATTTACACTTTTCCCTAATGAAAAGTTTGGTTAACCGTTTTCAGTTTTTGTGCATAAAATAGACTCAAGGTTCATTGAAAAAGTTGAACTTTGCTGAAGACTAAAAGGTCTCTCAGTGTATCTTCTAATGTCAAAGGGCAGACCTGTGCAGCTAGTTGTAACTAACTACCACCCCTTGTTCAAGTTGAACTGTATCCCTGATGGAGCAGCATCACCTCTCCTGTATCTGCTATCAGACCTGCTGACTGAAATTCCAGCAGCTTGGGATTAACGTCACAGGATGCAAATCGCCACAGGCTGTGCAATTCACCTTTAATTATAAGCATGTGGGTGTTGGCTTATGTGAGCCTGTGATCCCTCTAGCTGCAGGATTTCTCAAAGGTGTATAAGCAGTGTTCACCTAGAAAAAGAAAAAAAAACTTCTGTGGTTAGGTTTAAATGACGCTTTCTGTTTTTTCACAGCAGCTTGTTAATGTGTTCACAGTGCCTGTACAGGTGCCCATTAGCCTGAGTGCTGCTGTTAAGGTTAGGACCATGCTGGGCCACACAAAAGTGCAATTTCATAAAACTGCAATAGGGGCTTCGCAATTAACTTTCCACTAAAGTCTGAATTTAGAGCAACAACTCCAATAGTTCTTCCTCACTCAGGGATCATATGCTGTGGTAGATGCATTCACACCAGCTTTTTAAAGCTCCTGTGAGGAGTTTTTTGAACGATTCTGAAATGGACTGAAATTCACAATGAGGCCTCGTTATTATATTAAAAACAAACTAAACCATTAGTGACAAGATTGCTGATTTTTATATTATAATCTTTAACGCCTGAAACTAGCGTGAGTGTCGTCAGCCATTTGATAGAAAGACTGCTGTTGGGTTTCAAAGAGATTTGTGTCTAATATTAGAAAAGCGTCCCAACAGTTACCTCTTCTGTCTTTATCAAAGCATTAAACCTTTTCATTTTCTTATTTCATTAATTTGGTGGTAGAGAAGACAGAAGGCTGTGTGTGTTTATAGTGAGGAAACCAAGAACAGATGAGTTTTATTTGCATTTATTTGAGTTTTAATTTATCCTACAGTACATTTACAGTTGATATCTTCTGTTCAATGAGTAATGACAGCTAAGTCAGCTCATTTTCAGATGACCATGGACTAGCAGTAACTGGAATTAAGTAATGAATCCTGTACATAATATAAACATTTGAATCTAATAAATAGACATAATGAGAAATCAAACAAACACAATTTGCCATTTTTGGCAGGAAAATAGATCTACCCACTGAGCAGTTTTTGGTCTAAAAGTGGTCTAATAGAAGTCTAAATGTAGCCTAGATGACTGATCTAAAATCAGGTTACCACAGGTCTAAAAATGAAAGTTTTATAGACGTCTAAATTAAGACCAAGTTTAGACTAAATCTAAATCAACACTACACTTTATATTGCTCAATGGCTATCATGATTATTTTTGTTAAGTACTTAGAGATCAGTTATGCAACTCACAGTTGCTTTTTTAAATAAAAAGAAGTTAAAAAGAAGATGTCTAAATTCTGTCTAAAAATATACTTAATCTTCATGGTTGAAATAAGGTCTAAAAAAAAACTAGACATCTAATAGCTGTCTATTGCTCAGTGGGTAGGTAAAGTTACAAACAGCTAGCTGTAGAGAACAGGATCAGCAAAGACTGCTTTGGCCATAGGGGGCGCCACAGAGGAGCTTTAACATTTAAGGGAAAGTTGAAGCTACTTGTCTCCGTTTAGACTGAGTAGAGCCTACTGGTGCATATGGAGGTGGGGGCAAGGGGGGAATCAGACTGGTGACCCCCCCATGTCTGAAAAAGACAGCAGAAATGCTCTCTTGGATGTGTACATAAACATTGTAAAATGCTCTGATTGATGCTCTTTCAGTGTTCAAAATGTAAACAAAGTGCCCTTAAAGTAGAGCAAATGTTGAGGTTTTTTGTAGGTTATATTCTTTTACATATTATGTATCAATAACTTTACAGAACTAAATCTCCATGACAAATTGTCACACAAACATCTTTCAGAAAGGTGGGAACAAAGAGTTAGATGCTCAAAATTTCCTGGGAGAGACTCTTCACACTTCCCTTTTATTATTTGTGCCTCAATATGTTTCAATGACCCCTTTCCTGTGAGTATTAGGGTCTGAAAACTGTTCACAGCTCTGAAACTTGCAGGGTATTTACTGCCCAGTTGCCAACCCAAAATTTTTATCAGCTGCCCTTACTTTTGGCGAGAACCGAGCCTTTCCAACAGCCTTATGATTACATGATCCCAAGGAGATACAGAAAACTAAAGAGCTCAGAAAATGGTCTTCAAAATGCTAGAGGCAGATCTCGCAAACAGCTTGAGTAGGCTGCTGGTAGTGCCAGTCGAGTGGAGGAGAAATAAGACCCGCTCTTTTGATTTATATTGGATTTAGAAAGGTGTGGTGCAAAACAAGAATAGAGACATAGAAACTGTGAGTTATTACCAATACGCACTCTTTATCTGTTGCACTTATCCAGATATTAGACAATTTCTACAAAGCATGAAGCATAAGAATACAAATTTAATCACAGTGCACAAGTAAAAACTGCAGAAAAAAAACAGATAAAGTAAGTGGATACCTGTTTAAAGATAAGACTGAAAAGGTTGTTTCTGCAGAGAGAAATGAAAGAGTCACAGAAGTGGGACATAAACCGACAACAAGAGGCTAAAGGTCATTGTGAAAGAGGGGGTCGCTTTGTTGTTTTTATACCGGACTAATCAATATGAATGGGCTGCCCGTTAATCCTTATATAAACTGGGACAAATCTTCTGTTTGCCTCTATTTGTTCATGAAACAAAAGTCGGTGTAAAGGTGAAGCGAGACAGGAGGTGCTGAACCTGATGGTCTAAGGGATTTTCCTGACTGTGAGTTTATGAGTCCAGCTGAAAAGATGATGGTAGTCCAGGGAGGCGTCATGATGTGGAAATCCTCTGAAAAAGTCAGTTTCTCATTGATGTATGTCTGGACAGATGTACCTGTGAACGTTACGGCATCATATCGGGGAAGTTTCCTGCTTGAGGGACAGAAAAAAGGAGGAGGAAACAGGGAGAGAAACTATTTCTCATCAAGTTACTATGATGTTTTGTTTGATGATGCTGGCTTCTATAGAAGAAAGAAGGGGCAAAAAAGAGAACAACAAAACACAAGAGCAGTTTCTTTCCTCCAGTTTTCTTAATCAAAAGCAATAGAAAATAACAAGAGAATGGGATTAATATTTGATGAGGTTGTGTTTGTTGAATTAAAGGAAAACTATTAGCCGAGGCACACGGGGATATTTGTTTAAAATGCAAATTAATTCCAGAGTTTTTCTTCTTGTTCTTTTTATTTTTTTTACAGGGTTAGTTGGTGTTGGTTGGCTCTTCCTCTGTAGATAAAAGAGCTTCTAAGAAAAAAGCCAAAGCTTCTGCATGTTCTACTCTAGGCAATCTCCAGGCTCTTTTTCAGTCCAGCCTAAATTAAGACCTGTTTCCCTCCAGAAAATATACTATATGGTTTTCTTGTTTGCTTATAATTGAATGTCCAAAAGACAAAATCTATTAATTAATAATAAAAAATAAAAAAAAGCAATCTCCATAATTGAATTGGTGCAATTTAGATGGCACTGTGGTTAACCTACAAAAACTAACAGGCACAGAGAGAGTTGTTCTGATGTCATCCTTGTGTTAATGATCGCAGTTTATGTTTCAACATAAATATACCACTACCTGTGATAAAGTTGATAGCCAATCAGAGTTCAGGATTTTAAGGCAAAGGGAGCAGCTATCCCCGGACGCGATTTTTTTTGTAGGATGATAGGGGAAAGTCCCGCCTCCTTCGCCTCTGATTGGCTAGAAAAGCTGGAAACGTCATCACACGCTCAAGCTAAACACGGGCTGTTGGCTCTGTACATCAAACAGAACATTACAGATCATTGTCACACTTCTAAATCCCCTAACCCTTAGCCTTACCCTAACCCTAACCTGACAGTAGATGACGTTTCACAGCCACAAGGAATAACCAATTGGAGCCCAGCACTTCTAGCCAATCAGAGGTGAAGGAGGGCCCTACCATCCTTCCAAAAAAAATGTCACTCTCCTGGCTTAGTGGTGTGTCCTTTCTCACTTCCCATTGTGTCCTTTTGTCTGTTTTTGTCCAATCTTTTGACAATACTGATCAGCAGGAGGCCGAAAAACCCAACTCATGTTTCAAGATGTTTCACTCAATAATATCTTATGACAACAGCTGATCAGTGTGAAGAGGAGGAATGGTTATGAGGATTTAAAAAGGAGAGTGCAGGAACCAGATGCCCAACATGGCAGTTGATAGAACATACACTTGACATGGGATTGACCTCAATCATTGGAGGGAGGGGAGAGGGAGTAGACCGTCTGTCTGCTAATATTCACCACATACATGGAGGTGTCAAGATTGTGCCCTTATTCAGCAGAGTTTCATACAGATGAAAAAAAGGTCAGTAATTACACTTGCACACCCTGTCATGTGATGTGCTTGCCACTGTGTCATCTATTGAGCGTGGTTGCTCATGCACCAGATGCAGATGGGGGGGAATGGATTTTGGTATTTAGTGTTAATAAGACAAAAATACAAAACAAAAAGGTCATGCTCAAGCCGCAGAGCCAAAGTCTGAGATGAGTCTCAAATCTTTTAGGAGCAAGTCCAAGTCAAAACATAAGCTACTTTATTATTGTTGTAAAAAAAAATGGCAATCCAAACCAAAAATTTGGTATGACAGTGGGGATAAGTCTACATTTTTTGGACTCAACACCCAAAGAAGACTCACATAATTGTATGACTCAGGTCTAAATCTCAAGCTGGAGTCCTCCCTCTTTGCAGTGACATGCTGTTATGTGACATGCTGGTGTGATGGTGTATAAGAAGACGTATTTGTGCTGGCAGTCAGTGGAGAGCTTCCATGTTAGTTTAGGAGCTGGTGAGGATTTACAAGAGAAGGGCAAAGAAATTAACGACAAAATTACAAAATTGAAAACACGTAATAATCAACTCTTTTCTTAGATAGAAGACCAAAGATGTCACCAGTTTATGGTGTATGTAGTTCAGAACCCAGAGTCCCTGTTGTTGCCTTACAGATGTATACCTGTTAGTCCTGCACTATGTGGTTTGTAGTCAACAGCAATGTCAGTAACACAAGTTTTACTACATATATGGACATTAGTCTTGTGAATATTTTAGATGTATAAAACCTTTTTCTTTTTTTTTTTTCATTAACCAACTCTATTAGACACTATCTTTTTTTCCATTAAGTGTTTTATAGTTGCAGTTAAAAAAGTTATTTCCTTATCGAAGAGTAAGTCAGATTCGAACTTCAGCTGGGCTTTAAAAAATACTTCTTTGTTAGAAACACACAGGCCCACTGGTTGTTACCATAGCGACTGGTTCAGTAGGACCAGGTACCATAATTTCCTGTGCACCCTGTTAAATAGAAGCTGTCAGCTGTCATGAGCCTGATGATTGACTTTGATGTGAGTTAATGATCGTTCTGCTCGTCTCGGAGCTGCGAGACTCGTTCATTATGCTGAACTGAACATGTGTTTGATTTTAAAAGTGAACTGTTTGACTGAGCAGATCCTCTATCCTGCTGGCTCCATGATTGTGGAGATTTTCATCGAAACGATTAAGTTACCCGACCACTGTCTATCATGTAGCATTGTAATGGTAATGTCATACAGAGGATAATTTTTGTGGGAGCCAGTGGAGTTGGCTGAATCCTCTGTCTGCCTCCCCTGTGGACTGATTCCCGATCAGACTAACATTTCATATCAGCCTTATGGGGGGAATATTAGAGGATTAGCAACAACTTTATGCTTATTCCCTTATGTATCTTCCAGGCCTCTAAATCCTGCGGAAGCCATTGTTATTTTAAGTAGCTTGGCAATTGAGCATGGAAGCAAGCTCTAATTCTCCCAAGTGTTTAGTGATGGGGAGCGGCAGAAAGAGCTTGCGTTACGCAGTTACCTCCCCTGCTATTCATTCTCTTTCATGATGTGAAAGTGAGCAACAGAGAGAGGGCTGTGAAGCAGCCTGCCAGGACCTCTTCTTCTCTCCAATCCTTGGTTCATGCATAATAGATAAGTCACTGTAACTTACAGTACCAGGGCAGAACTAGGCTAATTCCCAGATTTGCATATTTGTGCCGAATTCCATAATTCATGAGCGTGCAGCAAGCAGCGATCCACAGTGGAAAGAGCCACTGTGGTCCATGTGCTGTATCTCAGGGCTTGTTACTCACCATGTGCACCAACAGCATGGTGATAAAGCCTGTGGCAATTTGGCTCGAAACTGTGAAAATGCGTGTATGAGATCAAAGTCTCATTAAGCATCCCAAAAATCAGAGTGAAAATCTGAGGTCAAAACTTAGTTAACCAAAAGCTCAATTTGCTAGAAATTTTATCAAAGCATGGCGATTTACACCTGCCGGGGCTTTACACACAAAGATGGCACATCAAGATTGTACAGCCCTGGACTGTATATCTGAGAAGCAGCCCTGCCACCTCTCAGTATATTTTAATTGGTTGCTTGATTTGGAGTTTCAAAACACATTGCTTCTAAAAATCACAGTTAGAAATAGAAAGCACCTGCTGCAGGAGACGTGAATATCCCATATGTCAAATAAGCGCTGAGAGGTGTTAGCTCATGCTCAAACCTACTATGGTGCTAAACCCTCCCTTTGAACAACTCTTAGCACAGGCCATTGAAGCAGACCAACCGTACGTGTGCTCAACTTCCTGAGCCAAAATGAAATTATAACCATTGCTCGGTGAAAAAAGTTGAAAACTGTTGTGTATTTCCTGTAAATGGATCACAGATTCAATAAGAAAATTTAAAAAACCTAGTGTCCCTGTGACCCAACCAAACCTCTTGTGTTGAAAAATGAAACCAGTGCCGAAGGGCAAGAACTGCAGTACCGCAAGTGTCCACTTGAGGTTGGTGTCTGAGACCAAGGAATCCCCATTAAGCCCAGTGTTAAAGGGATGGTTAGTCGGGTTTGAGGTGGTATTGCATGAGGTACTTTTTAATAGTAAACACATTTCTTCAAGGGGATGATGGTCGACTTGGCCGATCATCACACCGGCCAAGTCAAACGGTGGGCTGTAGCAGCCTCTGCCATCAGTGGTGTAAATGAGTGAATGTGACATGTAATGTAAAAGTGCTTTGAGTGGTCAGAAGACTTATATAGTCCATTTACAATTTAACATTTACTGCTGTCTCATATATGAACACACTTATGTTGTTTAATTTAAAAGTTCTTGATTCTCTCTGATGTTTGGATGAATTGTTCCAGTGGATTTACTATTAATCCATGTTTTACTTTAACATTGATCTGTGCATGTTTCCTCCAACTGTGTATGTGCGTACAGACCTCTGGTGTGCCTGCGGCCATGCAGGTACTTTTGTAACACACTCTGTGCTTTGGATTGTTTGAGTGGAGCCCACACGTCTGTGATCTCTCATTTCCAGTCAAGATTTTAAAAACTCATTTACAATTTTAATGTTCAGATGTAAACTTATTTCTGATTCATGCACTTTTATGAGTGTTTGTCATGAACATAAGAGTCTGTGCGACAGAGTTGGTAGGCTGTGGTGGATTTGTGTTTCCAGTGGCTTTAAAGAGCAGCATTGAAGCTGTGTTGTGAGCTGTGTTTGTCATCAAAAAGCCCCCGCATCTGAACTCAGCCTTTGGGAAAGCCTCATTAAAAGCACACAGGATCTGATGACAGAATGAGACAACAGGCTTTTTCCTGCTTCATTTGCTGCCATTCTGAGACAAACACGCTGGCGGAGGGAGGGAGGGAGGGACAAAGCGGGGTGAAAGAGGAGACAGCGGAGGGCGCTCATACCTGATAGTGAACCAATTTCATGCACAACTTTTTCATCAAGAGGTTCAAGAAAGCTTGACGCCGGCATCATGGCTAAGCGTTATGAAGTAGATTTATCATTCTACTTGATGACTGGCTGAGTTATTTATTCATTACCTTTGTTCTCTGCCACCTCAGATGAGTAGACACATACCAGCCACATCGCTCGCTATGTGTGATACATCCTATTTTTTTCCTCTCACACCCATGTCATATTTGTCAGACTGATGATATCTGCTTTTTTGAAAGGATGGTGACCCCATCGTTGGGTGATATTTGTTTTGATTCAGAAGCTGCCGCTCTGCCATATGGATCAGTTTATCTTATGTGGGAGTGTGCGGTTGTGTCTGGCTGCAGAAGGATAAGTAACAGAGAGTGATGTATAACATTATCACTTGTTTCTGTTCCTGAAATATGTTCCTCGCCTGTGCGCTGGCCTGAGCGCAGAATATTTAAAGAACATTTTAATAAGATGATTTCCCGGGAAGAAAGGTTTTTTTCTCTATTAGCGTGGAGATATTAAGATTATCAGGGATGAGGGGAGACATCCTTTTGAGACAGATTTATGAACATTTTCCATTTTGAGAGGAGTCGCATTACCTGCAGGATCAAGTGCGTGTCACTCTTTTAGAAAAGAAACTACTTTCGGGGCAGTGTTAATTCACCTCACCTTTTCCACTCTTTTGTCTGCGCTCTCTTTGCTTTGCACATCATCTTAAGTTTTTGTGAAAGGAGATGAATACGCATGAGGAGAAAATGTCAAGCACTGGTCTCTCCCTTTGGCTTGTGCTCTTTCCACCACCAGAAGCAATATTTGACATTTGTTCTGAAGACAAAGATCTGGGTTTGTCTAAATATAAAAATGTGATCTTTAAAGACATTGATTTTAGGTTTATTGCCAGAATGTCAGACACCTAACAAAGTCGGCACGGAGACAAACTGTGCTTTGATTTCTAAGAGAGGAGAATAAAAATCTTCACAGTGTCCTTCAGATCCAAATCTCGGGCCCTCAAAATGCTCTCAACAGAACGTTTACTGTAGAAAAGTTATTAAGGAAAGTCCTTTCACAGGTAAAAACACTGAATACACGCTCAACAAAGACTCCTACATACATAGCTGAAGGACAGGCACACTGTAGTCTCCAGAGAAAGCCGTCCGCCCCATGTTAATGACTCCTCCGTCATGCTTAGCATCAGGGTTCAGCGTTCACACCTTCAGGCTGAACAGGGAGCTGTCCGTGGTGCTGAATGAGACTGTTCATCTTGGTTTGCAGAGGAGAAAAAGCCCAGACAAGCACCTCTCTTTTTCCCATCTGAAAGGAGAATACTGTTATCTGAAGCCTGAAATTGAACTTTGAAATATGCTTTTCCTCCGCCTAAGATTTTCTCTCTTTCAGCTTCAGGCGCAGAGCTAACCCAAAGCCTTGTATGTATATTAAAAGTCTGGGCTAAAAATAGTCAAAACTACAACAGCAAATTTAAGAGCAAGGGTCTTATGCAATGCAGTAAAGGTGTGATGAATTTTATAAATATTAAATTGGTCACTAGCCTCATGACTAAGTCATTGTTTGTCAGATGAGGTTAAGTTCTCATTGTTCTTATTATTTCAGATATATCAGTAATGTGTAGCTTCTCTTCTTTAACTCCACTTTTGTAAAGCTGTGGCTCCTACCAGAGTGCATTGTGGAGGTAAACAGTGGTCGAATGATGAGTTTTTTAACGCCGATGAAAATTCATGAGATAGAAAAATGCATCAGGCTGTGTTATAGATCTCAGAAAGTGACGCACTCATGTTAGAGGCAGTTTAAAACTCCATTAGTGTATACATCACATCACAACAGAATTGATATTAAAGACTTTTTAGTGGCTGTGAATCACATGCTGCTGTCATTAAGGATGGTAAAGATGTGTTATGTTGAAGGGGACATCACATTACTCACCGGCAGTGACACTTGCGTTTTGCTTGCAGTGTCTGCAGACATCATGTCATGTTTTTTTAAAAGCTTCATGAGCGTAGATATTGGCTGATGCATTAACAGACCAGACCAACAAATCAACCTGTCATAAAAATCAAATTAATGTAAAACAAATCTTTTTAAACCTACTTTTTTGTGCAAACCAACTCTTTCAAAGATTTAGGGCCTGATCTACTAGGATCCAAAATTGAATAAATAGCACGGCAAATTTATTTGTATAGCACAATTCATACACAAGGCAATTCAAAGTGCTTTACAGATGCAAGAAGATCAAAAAAGGGATTAAAATTATTTAAAATCAATGAGACAAACAGATCAATTTTTTCGCCTGTTACGTGTTTGACAATATTAATGAAAATCGTCATTTACCAGAAAAATGAAATAAATCATAAGCTTTTGGACAAGGATCATGGCGTGTATCATGGCACTTCTGCATCCTTCTCTCCACAATGACCGTGCGTAACACTGCTCCAGTTTGCACGAGCCATTCAAACGTGCTAAACGTAGAAGCAAAACAGCGACCGCTATCGGTTTCCGGGTTTCATGAATCACATTGCGAGTGCTACATGATTCCATTTGCATCTGCTCCTCCCAGAATTTTGCACATTCTGATGATCTACATACAATCTGCATGTTCATGAAGGCAAACACGCTAAATTGATTGCGCTGTGCTGTTTTGCTCATTTGACAGACACAATCCTCGGTGCACCCAGTTAGTAGATCAGGTTTGCGTGCGCTATCAAGTTTGCACATGTTTTTGCACAAGCAAACCTTTAGTAGATCAAGCGCTTAGAGTGATAAGGTTCTGTATTGATTTGTAGCCACCAGAAATGATTAACTTTAAAGCTCCTGCTAAAACTTTTGGTCTGTGTTAACTTTGGTGCCCCCTCAGGACAAACCAGTCTTTACTTTCTTTGTCCTGTTTGCTTGTTATCTGGTTAAAAAAAATCTCATTCTGCTGAATTTTGAAGGTCAGAAGTGCTGTTTTTAGTGAATGTTGCATATGGAAATTGTAAAAACAGGGCTGTTCTTCCAGCTGCTCCACCGACACCTATAACTCACTCTGGTTTCAGACATTAGATATTAGACTATAAAAGCCCTCAATCTTGTCGCTGGTGGTCTCGTTTGCTTTGGTATATCATAAAAAGGCATCAGTATGAGTTTCAGTCTATTCCAAAGCTCCTCACAGGAGCTTAAATGTAACATCAACTATACTTTGTGAGGGCTCGCAGACCTTTTCCAAATGATTTTGTTTTGCCTCCACTGAAAGAATGTGACAGTGTTTACTGGCACTAAAAGGCTCTATGGGATGCTTGCTTGAGCCATTTGGCCAAACCAACACCCCTGAAAGAACAAGTTTTAATGGAGATAATGTCCCTGAGATGCATTTCTGCCTATTTACTGTGCTTTTCTTGCCCAGAGAAAGCAGCTAACAGTTGCATGAGGCCGGTTCACATTGTGACATGATGCAACATTTGTGTTAAGTAAATTAGATACCGATGGTGCGGCACTAATTTTAGTGGTGCAGCACCTTAATTGCACTGAAATAACTAGAGTTTGGTAAGGTGTGCTTGGCTGGATGTGCTAAACTAACAGAAATTGGAGACCCTGTGTCATTAGGCATGAAGATATTCAGTGTATAATGACCCTTTAGTTTCATCCTGTGCTGCAGTATGAAACCAGTTTACTGCTGCGTGTTTGAGTCCTGTGATTGTAGGAGAAGGCATCCCTCAGTTTAACTTCATTTTAATGTCTTATAATCTCTGATGTCTGATTTGTGATTTATTTCTAGTCTATTGCTATGATTCCTAGTTGTGTCAGTCTGCTTTTCATATTTCAGTCCTCTGCAGCTGTACTCTTATCATATCAGGATGTTAAAAGCTAATTAGCGCTGATGTGTTAATAAAACCATGATACTCATACTTCATTTCCTTTTCCTTTTTTATTTTATTTTATTTTTTTAGTTCACTGGGTTTCATACTTATTTACTTGTTTTATCTTGTAATTAAATCATTTGTTGTTTCCACTGATCTACAGTATGTATGCAGCAGATGTTCAGTCATTCCTCATAGAGTGGTTATTGTTTTACCAGTTGATAATTACGAGCAGTGTTAATTTGGATTTAAGAGGATAATGAGGAATATTTTCATATTTGCTGGTGATTTTAATTTTTTTCATCATGGGAGCAAGTGAGCTGGAAAAAAGCCACAGTATCTTTTGAAATAGGATTTAACAAAATGACATTTAATAACACACAGCAGCCTAATCTGATTTGGAGGTGATTTCTATTTAAAAAAAAGCTTGTTTTCTCCCTCTGTTGTCAGTAATATTCATGAGTTAAAGAGGATGATTCATTTGCAGTGCATTTTGTTCAAAACTGTGCTGCAGTATTGATGCAGCGCTGTAAATTAACCCACTTACCAGACATCATTTCAGCGCCAGGTAAATATTTCATGCATGCAAAACATAATGTTCAATTTATGCGCACGTATTCTATTATTGAATAGTCTTTTGCTGTGGGGGCTTTCCTCACACATAAACAGACAAACTCACTCCTACAGTCTCTCAATTCAGAAAACATCCACAATAAAGTTTGACAATGTATCAATGTGTTAGTTCTCTGAGGGTAGTTTTACACTTTATCGTCATATTTGTTGAAAAAAGTGAGTGTGAAAATAACGGTGCCAGTTGTCAGGATCACCGCGGGCTGTAGCTTAGCCCAGTAAAGATCACAGATTTCAGGGCTCACCTCAGAATAAGTTTTCATCACACAGCGTCCTCTTTACATCATTTCCACCTAATAAACTGCAGCAGGATTACAAGTGTGTGCTGTGATCCGCTCCACAGGTCTGCAGCACAGTAGGGATTAGGTACGCCTTGATGTCTGAGTCTGGGGTTCCAAAGGATAATTTATCACCCTCATTTCATCACCATATGTGCCAGTGCAAAGAGACACTGGCTCTGGCTATTGTCCAGATGATTCTCCAGGGTGAGCTTAGGTTGTTCCAGGTTTTGTGGACGGATGGAAAATAAATATGCACAAACAATTTTATAGACGATTCATAATTATTCATGCAAAATTAGTGAAATTTGACAAGTGTCATGTCCTGAAATGTGGTTGATTTTAGTTTTCTTCATTATTTTAAGGTAATTTATTTAGTATTATTGGATTAAAAATAAATAAAAATAAATAAATTACCATAAATAAATTACCATTGCAATGATCAAATCTTGGCTTATTTTCAGTTCATTTCCATTGAACTTTCAACCTAATTCAGATCCAGTTCAATTTGAAAACTGTACTCCTATAGGGAAAGTTAAAAAAAAAATCATTATAGAAAATAGGTATGAACTATTGACCCATTAATATGGTCACCAAGCCTTCATCTCCCTCTATTTTACAAAGTGGAGCCAAAATATCTCCTCGATGTGCGCTAACATGTTGCGCTGGTGTAGCCAAGGCAGGTGGAGCCCCAGGACTGATGTTGCCTCTCTTACACTAATTAAAGGGGGTTAGTGAAGGAGGCTGCAACCAGGAAGGTAGTTTGCAATTGCAGCATCCAGGACCTTAGTTTAAAACTTATTTCCAGTGTTTTCTGTTGCTATTATGTAGTTGCCGTGCATTATTTCTGCTTCACTTGGTAGTGACTATCAGTTTCTCCTTCTGTTCCTCCTCTATTTTGCTAATTCAGTAAAGAACACTACAGGAGCCTTCATTAGTCAGAGGAGCTGTCAATCATGATGTCACCGCCTTTTTATCATCAAATAACTAACGATGAGGACATTTAAAAAAAAAAAGAAAGAACGCACAAGTTTCAATGTATAGTAGCTCAAAGATGAACACTCATAGAAATTGGTATTTGTCAGACTACAAAACAATTTACACCATTTAATCTGAATGTTTTCAAGGACCAAGCCCCAAATGACTGCTGCACTAAAACAGGATAAAATGTGAGTTGACCTACAAAACTTTACATTAGAAGTGGTTTCTGCTTCAGTATCTGGTGCCAGGCTCTGAGTATAAGGGTGTGTTGGTCTTCACTTTTCTAATAGCCATAAGAGTGTCAGACCATCAGGAAACCATCAGATTTAAGCACAAGATTTTGTTGAGATAGTGTCACAGTCTTATAATAGGACAAAATATTAAACACACCACTAGAGATTTCCTTAGAGTACGTTCTGGACTCTCATACTGAGGATAAAAACGGCACCGTGGAGATAGGACAGGAGTAAGAAAGATGTCAGAACAACTTTCTCCGAGTCTCCAGGGACCTTAGTGGAGGTTTAGCGATAGCCGCCTGGGATGCTTAGAGCCAAACTCACTGTGCTGTTCAGTGTAGTTTCCCCCGGCTGATTAGCTATGCAGCAATTAGCTGACTCGATGTTTATGTTGATTTCAAAGCTCCAAAGAGTGACACAGTTAAAACTAGCTCCAGAAAAAAAAGATAGAGCCTGGCAGCCCTCGAACTCCACTTTTCCACTTTTTCTTCACTCTTGTCAGAGCCATTTCCATTTGCAACTGCAGTTGATCTAGACTTTGGCATGTTGTAAAAGTTTAACAATCAGTCTGTCATCTCAAAACACCTTCAGAGAACATTGTGTTCATGCGTGTAGATCATCTTGTCGATCAAGTGGCAATTTCAAACTGTGTTCTTTCAACTTTAAAGCCAGAATAAAGTAAGAACTGAAGTGTGGCGCATTTATCTGCCTCTGGTTTTATAGACATTGAACTAAACCTGACAGTGCCGAGCAGAGCCAAACAAACCAGCAGCCTTACTAATGCATTTTATGTATTAACCACAAAACATGCATTAGTGTTTCCAAGAACTTTAATTTTTACTGTCTACACAACAACAACAACAACTCAATGAAGCTCTCAAAAATCTCTACTCTGGAGGGGCTTTCCAAAAACCTCTGTAACCTTTGACCTCATACTCCATTTACTCATGAGTGGGAAGTCAAAGACAGAGAAATATCTGAAATTCTGATAAATATCTACAAACGTTTGGATGGTGCCTCATTCAGCCTGTCTCTGTGTCAGCAGTCAGGAAGCTCAGTGGACTTTTGACTCCAGAGGATTTGGAGAACATAAAAACAGTGGGCAAAAGAAAACCGTCAAGACTTGAACTGTAGACCAAACAACAAACTCTGCACAGGTCCAGTTAGACACACACCTCTACTTAGCAGCAGATCCTCTCCTGTCTACTGCCCCTGCCATTTTTGGTTTCTGAATGCCTGAACTGTCAACAAGTGGAGTTGTGTCCATGATGTATGTGAGTGATGACCAGTGATGAAAGTACATATTTTGATTATTTTGAAATCTTAGTCGGACCATTGTTCCATTTGGGCACCTGAGGGACTTTAATAGTTTAGGCTTCACTTGGATAATCTACTGTCCCATCCATGGTTAGTCTGAGGTTAGAACACTTAAATATTTATTATAACATTGAGGCATTACTTCATAAATAATTAAAATCAAATGATAAAATATACATCATCTTTTTTGCAGACTGCATGATAAATACCTTAATACGCTGACCTTTTCCAATGCCAATAATTTCACACTACGTTTTTGGGACTCAGTCCCTGTTTGAACTTGCCTCCTGGAATACTGTGAGGGTTTGTGAGTTGAAGAGGCGGTTTGATTATTTTCTGCTTACCGAATGTGTAGCTATGTCTATACAGTAATGATTCCCAGAGCAACAGATGCAGCTGCATCAGGCCGTGATTTAATGCAAGGAGCTCTCCACATGGGAAAACTCATTGCCCAGCAAATTAAACCATTACCTCCCCAGTTGGAGTTAAATATGGAGAAATGACTCATTTAATGTCTGATTACTGCCTAATATAGTCAGCCAAACAATGGCGACCACTCATTCCCACAAGTAAATTCAGTGTCTTTTCAACATAAGGGCAGCAATTGCTTGTCAGGGTCACAGTGGAGTTTTTATTAAAAGATGCACGCCAAGAACACAAAAGAATTCATCTGCTCGGACTCATTATGACACCGCTCTCCGGTCCGAAGATTCGTCTTCATTATCCAGCCAAGCACCAGGCAGATAACACCGCCTCATTTGCTTTCCGTGCCTCATTTTTCCCTGAACGATAATGCAGCTCCCCTTTTGTGTGGCTGTTGTGAAGACGAGCAAGCCATTTTCAATATGCACGCAGGATTACAAAGGTTAATCATCAATTTAAAGCTAATCTTTGTTAAATACCAATAGAGGCATGGTGTGTGCTCGAGACAGATATAATCAGGCAAACCCCAAAACAATCCTCCATCTAAATGAAGTGAAAGATGGTTAATCTAGGCTCTGCAGCGGGCCTTGATGAGCCAGGAAAGAGGACGGGTTGCATCACACTTCTCCACTAATGTTGGGCTGTTTGCTAAGTGTAGTTGTTGAATCTTTAAGGCGAACTTTGGAAGCTGTTCCACTCGGATTAAGAGGGCTGCATACAAAGCGTGTTTATGCAATGCTTTAAGAAATCCTTAGGGGAAAATGTAAAGAATCTGTATTGCCTCATTATTGCCATGGAGTTGAGATAATTATGGAGCTTTAGAATTACGCAATCAAGAACAAGATCCCCCTCCCTCCTCTCTGTCTGCGAAAAAATGAGTAATTAATTTCCCCCTTTTTTCTCTTGTAGCATGCAGGCGACTAGAAACACAGGATTCCAGCCATTATCTGGTCTGCTCTGGTGAAACATGTCTGCCAAGTTGGCTAATTAAAATGAGAGCTGGTTTGCTTCCATCCCACCCTGTTCATATTTGTCAAAGGTGTCGGTTCCTGATATGAGAACACACTCCTGCATTAGAGGTGTCCTGGGTCTGGAACAGTTTGTCTTTAAAGGCAAAATATTCAAGTTTCTTTGGTTTTGACCCTTTTATATTTGAATAATTGAACAGCAGAGGGTTTTAGACATGCTGTATTTTTACTTCCTTAAATTGAAGTTTTTCTGCAGCATCATGCAGCATTTAGATGCCAGAAATTTAAATCTAAATGCAAAAACAAAATACATTTGTTAACGAATTTGTAACATATCTATTGAGCATGAATATGAGTTTCCAAAGTTAACTTTTGAGGTTTTTTAAAATTTATTTATTTTAAAGGCCATGAAAAACAAAACAAAGAACAAACAAACAAACAAACAAACAAAACAAAAAAAAAACCACTTGAGAGAATCATACCACCTCAAAAGTTTAGTTTATCTAGAGGCTACTGCAGTAATACAGATATGATGGAAAATATTGGTTTAAGTCTGGACTAAAGCTCTACCTGTAGAAACATGTTGTTATAGTTTCTCCTCATTAAGTTTCTGAACTATAAAGTCTTAAAACTGATAAAAACTGCAAGTTCAAGAAAAAAATTTATGATGTCCAATTTGGTATATAGATAATTGACCATAATTTTCAACAACATAAAAATCTGTATTTGGGAATTTGACACAAAAAGTATATTGCCTGTTTGTACTTGATATATAAATAAATAAAATAAAAACAATAGAATAAAATAAAAAGTTTTTGTTAGGCCATCTTTATTCTGGGAAGAGATAGGAAAAATATATTTTTTAAATATTTAAAAAAAGAAAGAAAAATTAAAAAGAGAGTTATTGATAAAAACAATAGTGAATGCAACACAAGTTTAGTACTCTGTTTCTACATTTCAGTGTTATCAGATCATTAATCCTGCTGCATGATATCCATTTAGGACATGGTTAAGAAAGTTTTTATTTTTGTAGTGTTCCTCCTGTCTCAAGAAGATTCAAGATTAACTAAACTTTAAAGACACTGTTTGCACTTTAGATCTAGTGGTCGAAAGGAGCGTTTTCAGCTGTTAATGACCGCATAATAAAGGATTTATTAATCCCTCCAATCTTCACCTTTAATTGTCATGTTATATAACATCTAATTAAAAAGAATGAGTGGTTCTCATATTAACAAGATTTGGTGAGTGTTTATGGGGGAGCCTTCAAGCAATAATGGAAGTAAGAAAGGTTCATAAAGTAATATTACAGTTATTCTAATGTAAATAACTTTGTAAAACTATTTATATGCTGCAATTGGTTATGAATTCCTTTAAAGTATGTTCCAAGCTTATAAAAAAATCTGTTTATTTACCTTTTATTAACCTTTAGTAAGTCTAATCAATGTTAATAAACTGATGCAGTAACTGCAACTGATAAACAGGTTTCTAAAATGAGAGCCTATAAATGTCTTATAAGCAATAATGTGACATAAGAATTTTTATGACTTCATTAGAGTGGCTTACAAACTTTTAATTAATGTGTTTTACAAGGAACTTAATATTAAGTGTTGCTCATCTCAGGAAAATCACCACGAGGTGATAACTGGCTTACTTTAGCGAGCAAAAAATACTCCGCTTTTAACTACCCGTATGACAAGCAGCTGCACTATATCTGAGTTTCAATAGAGAAACCTTATATCTAACACTATTTTAAATTATGAAGGCTTAAGTTTGGAGATCATCTGGTTTTGGTTTTCATCACTGTTTTACAGGAGTTAGCATGCTTATAATGGTCAACCAGTAGGTGGCAGTGTATAGGGTGGACTGTATAGGACTCACTAATGTCTGCCAAAGTGGACGATGTGAAACCGTTCCAACAAAAAAACCCATGCACTTAGCAGAAATAGCTCTTGAATAGTCGTCCACTGTAGCGATTACATTGTGTGAAAGGTTTCCAAGTAAAGGAGATAAGTTATTCTTGTGAAGTAATTCCTATTTCCTGAAATTGTTGTATGATCGTTTCAGGGACAGACATTGCATTTTCTTATTAACCTGCAGCATCTGAGTCTCCGGGGCAGGGATTTTCAATGATGGGAAATAGAATCAGCTCACCTTAATGGCTCAGGCAGTAATACTATTGACAAAGAAGACTCCTTTAATAAAGATAAGCCCTGCAGAAAATCAATAACCTGAACTAATTTCCAAAAGGACTCAGACTTGTCTAGACAAACAGGGCTGTCACAGAAAACCAAACAAGCCTCACAAAGCCAGTTTTAAAGCCCATTTCCCATTGATACGTCTTTGAGAACAAACCGAGCCGGTTTTCTCATCTTTGCAACAAGACAAGCAAGCCAACAAGCAGTCCTGCACACCCTCTCAGATCCTTTTTATCCCCCCATTAGGCCTGTGATGCTGGGTCCACAAACTTCTCTAATTAAGAATTCGTCTTCAGCAAATTCACCCATAAAGCCGGCCTGGCTGCAGACTGTGGGGTGATAAAAGGAGTTATTGGGCCTGCGACCTCCTTTCCCTCTTATCTCCCATAAACACTTCAGTTGGTTTTACAGGGCCATGGAGGCAGCAGAAAGAGCAATAAGCCAAAGGGGAACAGTGGGGGACTGATGACTTATTCATGAAGAACGGCAAAACAAGACAGCACGGATGAAACTGACAGTGAGACGTCCTCACTCTTTAACTTGTTGTGTAGTCCTGATAAGACTTTCTCTTTACTGGAGATGATTCATCTTTGGCCCGGGCTTCATTTCAATATGCACCACAGTCATGCTTTAAGGATGAATTATGCAGGTCTATGAGGCGCTTTGACCCTCGGAAAATGGATCTGCCTCCCTACTTTTTAACATCATCCTGTTTAAATCGACCGAAAATAAAATGGGTTACAGCCTCCAGTCCATTCCACCCATATGCAAAGACCTTAGCCGTTCATTAAATGTTGGTCAATGATGTCTTTATATTGTCTTAAACAGGTAGGTATATAACAACGTTTAGGCTGCATCTCTATGACTATAAGGGAAAGTATTTGACATTATCGTGGTTAAATGAATTAGATATACTTGCTCATGGTAGAAAAATAAGGATTACACAAAGGTCCCATGATCAACAGGGGCCTTAAAAGAATATTATAATACCAGTGATTTATTTTCCAATGAGTCACTAACTTATCACAGGGTATGAATTTTTCACACAGTGATTGTGCACACCATATTGAATTCCTGCAATACAGCGTTTAAAATGCTGCACATGTTTAACCTAAATTTTTTTAACAACCCTGTATGACACACAGCAACTGTGTTCAGTTGTCTTAAGGACAGACCAGCTGAAGACGCTTCATCAGCATGGATCGCTTTTATTAATTCTTGTGTTGACATCGCCTGCAGCTTTCAATGTCACAGCACTTCTTACATCTCACTGCTGCTCGGTTACAGAAGTCGTCCAGCATTTCTGCTTCTATTAGTGGTGACTGTTGAGTCTGGTTTGAAATACTCTGTTTACTTCATATTAGCTCTGATTCAGAGTTTGACTGATAGTCATTTGTTAGACGGTGTTTAGTTCAAACAATGCAGACAGAGGCTGAAGAGGAGGTGGGAAGTCTTTGTTAGCCACCTCCTAAATACACAGAGTACTGGGAAGGGTGTGTTTGATATTTTTAATCTCATTCTGGCTAATTTGCTAGAAAGCCAATCCAGCTGTTATTTTCAGCAGGAACTGATATTTATTTGATTTATTTCTGAAGCTTACACTAAACATTGTTATACAAGGCAAAAAAATGCAGGTCAGTTCATGATACTGAGCGTAAACATATGCAGAAAAAGGGTATACAGATGTCATTACACAGTTTAAACTACAGAGGTCTCTGTGCAAAACCACTCTTTATAAATAAATTACTCTTAATGATAATTGTGACTTAGTTTGTAGATGCGATAATCGTGGAAATAAGGTATTCCCTGGTATCTAAAGAAGGAAAACAAGTTTTTACTGTTAGGGTACAGATTTGCAGTCTTGTAATTACGTTCCCATGGATTTTCAATCTGTGTGTTCAGAAATATCCAACTCTGGAGGGCATATTTAAAAGTTACCTGTGAAGTCGGCTAAAATGCCATTTCCGTCATGCTGAAAAAACAATCTTTGTTATGTCGAGATAACAAAAAAATAATAACAATTTGAGATAACAGTGCATAAAAAAGATAAATCCACAGGCGTTCTCGTCTTCCGTAAATTCTACAGCATGGATGATTTTTTTTTTATTCTAAGTACTTGACCTAAAGAGCTAATGAAGACATTCAACTAGAGGTACATTTTATTTTTTAAATAAAATAACCTCAAAATTCATCTCAAAAAAAGCCTTTCTGTCTGTGTGCAGGTTTATTCTGCCAAACACCAACCCACTGGCAGTGATGATAGGCATCATTACAACGATACAGAAAATAGTACATTTCCTGTAAGTCTGGTTTGCTCTGCATGTCATCAAGAAGCTCAGCATTACTATCAGTCTCTTTGATAATGACATCCTCCCTAAAAATGGGAAGAACTTAAAATTAGAGACATTTAAGAGGATATTTCCTTCATAGTCAACAAAAACAAATGTCTCCTTAAATTCACACTAAAATATTTCAATCCTAGCCTCATATTTACAAAATGTCTTATTTGTTTTTTTTTCTATTTATGACCCATTTTATTTAATTTGTCACATATTACACTTTGCTTTCTGGCTTTTAACTCAGATCCCTTTTGCCTTTGGTTGTTCATACGATGAAGGCACGAAAACAATAAGAGATGTTACATGGACCAGCTTTAAGAAGGCAAGAATAATGCAAACCAATTGCTGATTCATTTCTAATACAGGCTTCAAAGGGTTAAAGATGTATAGATTAATAAGGCACATTAGCTTTAGCACAGCTCTAGTAATAGCTGGTGGTTTGAGCAACACAGCAGTGGAGACAAAGCTCTGCACCACCATAAAAGTCACCGGCTGAAATGACGTGGTGCTTTATTCTCTCCATCCTCTTAACCTGATTCTGTCACAAAGCCAGGGCTGCACATGCACAGATATTGTCATTAAGATGCAGACAGGTCTTTTTCAGATATTCGTACAAGCCCAAATTCTTCCCATGCCTCTCGCCTTCCAAGATCTGTTTTCCTTTTCAAGTGCATGAAATTCAGTCCAAGTTGGTGATTGTTTTTCCCTCACACCTCATCTCAGTTTGTGCATGCTCCAGTGATTTAAACTGATGGCTAATCCCACCTTGCTATGCAGGCTGAACACAAGGAGTGCATGCTAGGACTGCATTCAGACTGCTTGCTTGTCTAATGTCTGCCAGAAAAAAAGAAAAAAAAAAGAGAGAAAAACAAGAGGAGAAAGTCTAAAGTAACAGAGAGTGCCAAGCCTTGTGGTTAGTCTTCCTTGAAAACGTCTGTAAACAGAGTGGAAACTCAGCTTGGAGGCAGATGTAAGGCCCAGCTGGTACCAGAGTTTTCATTTCCTCTCAGGCAGAGTTGAAGTTTTACTCAGAGGTAAGGCTGACTAGCTGCCCGGTGCTCCATAAGGCAATGATGTGGAGCACTGTAAAGGCAAATGTTGTAAACAATGTAATGATAGAGTGTCCGACAGCTGCCCGCAGCTCTGATGGTTTACAACCTGCTCCGTCTCTGCCCAGCCAGACCTCTGACGCTCTGGATGCCACAGAGGCAGCGACTCCACACGAGGAGGAAGAGCTGCAGATTGTTATTATAGATAAACACTCCTCTTACGGATGAGTTAGCTCCGCAAGTAGGAAATTACAGGGGTGTTGCTCAAAGTTGGGCAAAGATGCAGCTGATGTTATTCGCCTTTGAGGTCACACTGTTAGCATTTTAGCACAGCGGGGTTAGATCTGGCAGATATTTGAGATGCGGTCTTAATGGTTTGACGAGAAAGCTCATAAGTTGAAGTCACATTTCTTATCTTTAAAAGTTTACTTTTGTTGTCGTCAAAGAAGGATCATGTTTTAATCATTACTTTTTGCCCAAACTGACTGTAGGAGAGGTTTTCTTATGAGTCAGTAATGGTACTGAGAGGCATAGACTGTTTTAATCGAAAGGTTTGTTCACAGCTGGATTATGGTTGAGTTCATGAGCAGAGAAAGTATACAAGGATAATAACACAATGAAAAGGATAGCATTAGCAAAGTCTGACAGTCACAGACACTTTTCACAGTCAAGCACAGAAAGATTGAGACAGAGTCAAAGTCAAACCATCAAAAACCTTTTCTCTCTTTAGACTCGTTTGGTTATCTGATCTGAAGTTATCAAGGTTATACCAAGTGTCTGAAAATATGTGAAAGTGATCAAGTTTAAACTCCTTAACTTATTCAGCTATTTATGACAATTAATGCATTGCTTATATCTGGACTAATATCACGGATTTTGAGGGTCCAACAGCATGTTATAACATTTAATTCCAAACATCTCATGTCACGAAAAACAAAACGTGACAAAAAGCTTCTGTGGGGAATTTTTTTTTTATATTTCCATATAATAGACTTAACCTTATATTGTTGCATATTTATGATATTACAAAATAAGACCATTAGCAACATTTATATCACAATCCTTATTGCCTGAAATCAACATGAGGGGGTAGGTGTCAGTCAAGCAGCTAAAAAAAAAAAAGCCTTGATTTTAAAATTTCCCCATAAAATATTCACAAAGTCAAAAAGACAACCGCTTCAGGATGCAGAAAACTAGATGAGCAATGTCTGCTGTGTCCAAGGGGGGCGCTAAATCCACATTAAAAAATCCCTGATGAGAGCTGTAAGAGTTTTACTACCAACATTTGTGAGCTTGTCAACGTCTCTTCTCTGTTATGAAAACTGATCACAGGCGTCACCATTTTCCTTCCCAAAAATCAACACAGAGGCACAATCTGTGCCCAGCAGAAAGTCACTTTGATCAAGCATTTATCTTAAAGTTTCACAGATTTTATCAGCCTTATTCAGTCACACACAGATACAACTGTTACAATGATATGAGGCTTTTATAAGTATATTTCAGGGAACATAGTCCTCTCAACACTGTCTGCAGCTCATGTAGCAGAGTGTCACAGCTTGGTAGACGCTCATCCTTGGTACTGGTTGAACATTTTCTTTAATAAAATATTTCTTAGTAATGCAGATGAATGAGTACCAAGGCATATCCTGAATAGAAGTGAAAAGACAACACGAAAAAGACATTTTAAAACTTCCAGAAAATAATTGACAATCAGGAGCTTTCTTGTTAGCAGCACCTAAATCTCCTAGCAACATGATTGGCAAAACTAGACCCCCTCTACAAAGTGTTGAGTCAACCTCAAAGAAACCAAGGTTGTGTTTTTGATTCAGACTGTGCAGCATGAATGTTTTGGGGGCTTGTTTTTATCAACTAAGTTTTTATTTTTTTTATTTTTTATTTTATTTTTAAGAATCTTTTGTGTCCTTCAGTGACATGAACAAAAGTGTTGATGCTTTTGTGTAGTCACAGTTAGACTCCTTTAAAGCCCTAAGTATTGTCATAACTCAGCCTTCCCTTCGTTATTCTCAATTGGGCTGAAATGCTGCAGCCCGACTTACCTCTGGTCCACAAAATCCAACCCCAGAACCTTGATCCAAAACATGAAATGTCCTTTTGTCTATTTGTTTTTTTTAACTGACACTTTTTGGATTTGCAGTAAAGGTTGCCTTTAAACTTTGATTTTCTACTGAGCACTGTTTTAAATAGCCATTTTGCTTGAGGCAAATAATTTGAAAAGTGGTCTCTAGTTGCAACTATTAAATATTTCAGGGCTACATATTGGCCAGGTAATATCTAAACCCAGCCTGGACCTCTTTTATCTTTAACTGCTCATTTTTTTTTAAAAGGCTGACTTGCAGATTGAGACAACAGAGAAGAGTCTGGGATGAGAAACTTAAATTATAACTTGACTTTTATCTGCTTTCTTATAAGAAAATCTTTTTAAAGAGAGTCATAAAAAGCCAAATGTGGAAAGATGAAACCAAGAAAGTCTCAGGATTGCATTTTGTCAAATGCGTTCCGCCTCATTAGCTCTCCTCACAGACAGTTTCCTGCATAAAATCTTATCTGGCACATACAGCATTTGTCAATATTCCTCAAACTTCAAATAGCTACCAGTCTGCTCCTAACACTAAAAATCCAGTCCACTGTCCTCACATTCTGCTCTCCTTTGCAGAAATCTGAATATAGCTATAATTTAATGACAGAATGTAAACGTATCTTTAATCAAACACAGTGGAAGTGTCAGATACAAACCCCACTCATTAAAATAATGACTCTGCAACTTCCAGACCTCTGCACTGATAAATGAGTCAGCCACCTCGACCCACACAGTCCGATGCCTCTGATCATGTTCCAATCAATGAGCAGCATTTGAAGCGACAACTTGAATTACTTATGCAGATGAAGAAGCTCGATACTGTGAAAGTTCCAGTTCAAGGTTGTCTGCTGCGGCTAAATGACATTTGCAGAAATGTGTTGCTGTCTGTGTCGATCTGATCCCCCTTCATCTCTGATCTGCATATCACAGCTACGCTCCACTGATTTGTCATTCACACATACTGCACGAACAAATGAAACTAATCCAGGCTGCATATGAGACATGCCATGTACACTGGAGGTCAGCTGCACCCTGACTTTATCAGACTCAATCACGCCTTTTATATCATCTGTAAAACACAGAGCGGACACTCTTCAGAGTGCTGGCCTTTGTACTTTGAAAAATAAACAAGCTTGTTTGAAGAGAATGAGATTATTTTATTTTACGATAAAGCGAACAGAGTGCAACAAATCAAAAACAAAACAAATCTCAATGAAGGAATTTTAGTGCCCCCCAAAAAACTCTCCAAATGTCCAAAACGATATCTTAAGTGTTGTAATTTTATAGTCTGCCATCAAAACAAAAGCTCGGAAAAATGTTGCATTGAACATTTTTTTAATCTGGCGCTTAAAATAATAGACCAAGGATAGAATATAAACCAGTGAATAGTTGCAGGAATTGTTCCCCAATTTTGGTCTATACATGAGCACCAAAAAAATAACAGTAGCCCCTTTTACACTGCATGTTCATGGCTGCACTGTTATGCCTCATCTATGGTGTAAAATACACCAAGGTGCAAAGGTGCGGTGAAGTTGTGCCTCAGTTGAGCAGGTTGTGGAAGTAATAAAAAGAGGTGAGGAAACAGTGGCTGTGTTTACAAGGAGCATAATATCCCAAACCATAAATGATTAAAAGGTCAAACAAAATAAAAAGGCTCCATATAAACAGCTCAACTGGGATGAACGGGTCTGAGCTGAATTACATTTCATTCGGTCGCAAAAGGGGGTGTTTAAATCTTTTCATCAACTGATCGATTTAGAAATTTGTCCTCATGCAGAGGCTTGGCTTTTGTACTTGGTTAAGAACAGTTCCTCTTCATCTACAGAAGAAGTCAAACTGGGAAGAAGAGAGGGGTATGAAGCAGAACAACATCTCTTCTGTTCTTGTCACACAGCTGTTCTGGCTGAATTTGTAGGTACATGTAAATACAAGACCTGATAAAATCTAAGCAGGAATCTCCAGTCTTGAGTAATAAAGTCAACGTGGATGTGCCAAAAACTGCAGTCCTACCAGTTTCAGCATGAGGCTGGCTTCAGACGCACATGAAAACCACGTACACACTGTTTTTGGTCTGATTAGTTCAGAGTTCCCACAGCACCCACAGTGTGGGAGAGTGAGTTTTTTTTTGTTTTTTGTCTTGAAGATATCAAGGTTACAAGATTGGTGAATCAGAGACATGGCTGATTTGGCGGACAAAAAGGCACACTGTAGCTGTTTAAGGAGGATAAAAGTTAAAAGTTGGGGTTAATTTCAAATATGGCCACCATTGCTGGTAGGGGACGATCGTCATATTGGAGGACAAAATAGCACTGTGTGTCCTACAAGTCTGAGTGTGGGTAAGTGCTGTCACATTTTATCTGAAAATAAACCTTCAATTGACAATAAAAAAATCAATAAAACTGGTAACCAAGAAATGAAACATGTAAATTTAACAAACAAAGACATTGAAATACACTTAGAAGTAAACCCTATGAATGAATACTGTAACAATGCCATGATGCCATAATGAAAATGTGATTCAGCACCCTTTTCTCTGTTTGCTGTCTGAGTCATCTGACAAAGTCTGACAACAACACAGATCCCTCTCTGGATATTGTTTGGCTTTTGAAATACACTGAAGCAAACACAGCAGAATTTAAGGCTGACATAACATCCGTGTAGTTGAAGGTAAAGTCTTTGGCAACTTAGTATAAAAGTATCACAGATTTGTGTCAGTAGAAAAGTTGCAGCGACTCGGTGAGTGTGCTGACATCCCGGGCAGGTCTTTCCATTGGTGACTTTGAGGAATGGTTTTGGCTGAGTCTAAACTTGTGAAAAAAACAACAACACAAATCTCACTTTTACAGTGTACCATAAAGTCAATAATAAAAGTTGCACTAGTATATGGGATGCAGTCTTTTTTGGGAGGTTTCTCAGAGGGAGAAAAACTTTCTCCCTGTGTGATGTTTTCATTGCATTCAGTCAAATTCACAACATGCAGTGTCTGTAATGCTGTGTTGTCCTTTTTTGTAGCATCTGTTTGACCTTGTGTGAACTGAAACCCTGCAAGCTGCAAATGAGATAGAGCAGTCTGATAATGATAGCTGTTAGATATAGACCCACCACCTGAGATCAGTTCACCTGGAGTTATCCACCTCTGCTGCTCACCTGTTGTTGTGAGTGAAGGAGGCTTTTATTTCCTTCAAAATAAACAATGTTTTCCTTAAACTCATGATTATATCCCAGTAGGGGGAAAGCGAGAATGTGTTGCTGTTTTCAGGGCATGTTTTGCAGTGAAACAGCTACTTGTATGGAAAAAGGACATATTTTCAATCTTGTTTGGTTTCATGCAGCATGTCAAAGCTACTGCACTCGTGGCATATACTGGCACATATCCTTGACATTACATGTAGCACTGAATGAAATCTAGATTCTGTATATTTTTGGAGGGAATTTAGACGTTGCACTTTGACCCATTATTCGATAAGTATTTATTTCAGACAGCAACTGTGAGTTGCAAAACTGATCTTCAAGTATTCCACCAAAATAATAATGATAGCCGTTGAGCAATATACAATGTAGTAAAGATATAGCTCTGTCAGCCAACTAGTCTAAACTTGGTCAAAATTTAGACGTCTAAAAAACTTTCATTTTTAGACCTGTGGTAACCTGATTTAAGACCAGTGGTCTAGGCTACATTTAGACATCTACTAGACCTTCTTTAGACCAGAAAATGCTCAGTGGGTCATATTGAATTTACCTTGGGGACGAGGATGCATCTAAACATTAAAGATCCAGTATTCTTCCTTCAGCCATGTTCATTAGAAAATATTGTAAGGAAAAACAGACTGTAAGAATTATATGATTTGGATGCTGTGAAATACAGAGGCCCGTTATCTTGTACAAACTTTGATTATTTGACAGAATTATTGTTCAGAAACTTAACGCAAGCAGAAAATGGAAAGGCCATGTAAGTTTAAAATCTGTAAACTAGCAAATTTTGCCCCAAAAGCCATGAAGTGTATTATTATTATTATAATTATAATTATTATTATAATTATTATTATTAATAATAATAATAATAATAATAATGATAGTTTTATTTATTTTTTATTTTATTTATTGGTCTGAAAGTTAGTTGACACAGTAATTAAATTAAAACTGTAAACTATAGCACCATCTTCTGGGCACATTAGTGTCAAACTGTTCATACATGGTCACCCAGGTATAAAGTATGCAGCTTCTGTTTGGGAAGAAAATTGGTAGTCAAAATGTGTCTTATATGGTTTGGCAATATTTTTCAGTTCAAACAGTGTGGCTTTCCTTATAGATGACAAATGAAAGCATCAGCATAAGGCCTGGGCTACGTCTTTGTGTTTTGATGCAAAATGTATTAAAGACAGGATTAGCCGCAGCTTGGGTCTGGAGGATTGAGCAGAATTATATTATTGATCTTTGTATTATCTTTTGTATGCAATCACCTCCAACGAGCAGGCTGGGCTGTAGGAGGACACTGTAGCTGTGTCTCTGTGACTGTGACTCCATAGTTTGCTCCCTCTTGTTTGTTTACTGTATGTGTGTCTGTGACATCCTACTGCTGCAGCAGGGAGCACCAAAAACCAGCTCTGACACATCTCACTGTGTAATACTCTCCCCCCGCCACCCTCTGATGTGAGCAAACACAGGACAGCCCTGTGGGAAACAGCTTTAAGTTGAATGAATTATTATCAGATCTCTAACTGCGGCCTGCTGTTGAATCACTTCAGCGTTTGGCAGGCGACAGCACATCACAGAAGGTCCACGCACTGAACCCCCAGTTCTGCAGTGCTGAATACATATTTGAGATGGCAGAGAAAGCACCCGCGGATCTGCCTACCAGTAGCATGCCAGAGTGAGAGAAGTTTGCCAAGTGATGTAGAGCTGCACACACCAGCTGTAGTTTGGAGAAATAAACATGAAATATCAAAATTGACCTCGTGGAAGAAATCAGCAGGCCCCTAGTGTATGCACACCGCAGTTATTATGTATTACCTGCTTTGCCCTGGAGTGCAGCTCGAACTGTGCATAACTCCAGCCTCGACTCAGGTGGGATTGCTTTCAGTGGGTTACATAATGCTGTCTATGAGCTGCATGATTGATGCCGTTTAATAAACAAAACTACAAGCGCATAAAGCTCTCTAAACACGGTGCGTTTTTCTGCGCTTTCCTCATCAGAGCTCTGATAACTTTGTCAGCACCCAGCAGGCCTGCTATAGTTTTCTCATTAAACTATTCATCACATCGGCCTCATCAAACATTAAGAGTATCCTCACAGTTCATTACAAGATGCCCTCCTTTTTATTTGATGAAGTAATTCATCCATTATGTATGTGTGTTTTGCAGTTTGCAGGATGCCTGCGAGACTGGAGAACAGCCTCAGCTATCCAAAGGCTTACATCCAAGAAGAGAGAATAAAGTTTGTGCATTTGTTTTCGATTAAGTCGGCATTTCAGAGCATTCCCTCTGTGATGAACTGTAGAGCGATTACTGAACATGGAAGAGATCAGACTTATTGTGATAACTAGCAGAGGTTTGATGGGAAAAGCTTGATAGGAATTACAGCAGCATCGAATTAGTTTTATCTCGGTGTCGGCGGCACGTACGGGGGGAGATCTGGACGCTGAGGGAAGCAGAGGTGCTTTATCAGAAGTGGCAGGCTGAATGAGGATCATCAGGATACTCTCTGATTAAATTCCTTCTCGTAGTCCGTTGTTGTTTCTCAACAACCACTGAACGCTTCCCTGCATGAGTCAGCTGCCCCGGGATTGGCTGCTTCCACTCATTTTAGCGTGATGACCAAGTCAGCTGGTTTTATCTGCGAAATGGCCTCTTGGGAATTAAGATGATACTTGAAATAAATCTCCAGGCATTGACAAATGTCAGGGCTAAACCAGAGTAAGCTTTGGTCAGGGGGGTTCAGCCGGGCAACAGAGACTTCATGAGCCGTCTTTGAACGATAGTGTGCTCAGACTTGAATTGCAGGAGGTAATGTCATGGGAATAGAGGATGCTGCACTATGCAGTATTGTTTATCCTGCGAAATGAGCAGGAAACCCATCCTGAGTATCAAATGGAGGTTTACGAGTACATCTTGAAAAAGTAACATTGACTTGTATCCAGGGTTCAGAGCTGACACTAATGTAAATGACATTAATTGGTTTAACCCTCCTTGTGTGTTAGTGTCTGCACCGACCTGTTTTTGTTTTTAAATGCTTAAAAGAATCGCTTCATTTAGCTTTTTGCATCAAGACTTTTTGACTTTGTCAGGAACCTCTATTTCAACTAAATTAAAATTAAAAAAATGAAATTGACTAAATTATAAAATGCTCTAGTTAAAATTATGGCACTTGTGGTGTTAGGGTCGCTGTTGACCCGGTTAGATCAATATCTAGTAATTAGAGCAAAACTGAAATCACAAGTGCACTATCAGGCACCACACTGACAGTCAGATCCTCTTCCAATCATGTGAGATTTAGGAAATTCTCATTTTGCCGTGTATTTCCCTGCACAAAAAACATCAGGCATGTCCAGACATGTGAGATTAATTCAGTATAGATGTCTATGTGAGGGGTTTACTGACAAAGAAAGACCCAGAGGTCCACTACAAAAAATATTACAAGCAATATTTTCATGGATGATAAAGACTAACAAGTAAAAATAGAGATGATAATTTAATTGGATGATAGAGAATTGTTTTTAGTGTAATTTACAGCTGATTTAAGACACGGGTCAAAACTGACCCTTAGCATAGTGGGTGCGTAGTAAAAGCTGTTAGGATGATTCAATTATACAATGAATCATGGGAAATTTAAGGTAATATAAGTGTTTAGGGAAATTATAATGCATCTGTGTTATTCTTGCAATAAAAAATGCTGTGATGGTTACTTATTTTTAAAGCAAATTTTGGTGTTTTGATTTGTTTGTGTAATTAGTTTTGTGTACTTTAACTGAACTGAAACAGATCCAGATTCAGTCCATCCAAAATTAAGGCTGTCTGTGATGAAATAGGTATACATTTTATTGAAATACTGTTGTGTCTGTTGTAAGCTGACTACGCAAAACAAAAAGGCTTCCATCTTTGTTTCGGTTTGGCGACCAATCAGAAGCTGTACCTGTAACCTACACACTTGTAAAAGTCCACTGAGAAGCCAGACTCCACAATCTGCCCACAATGAAAGATAGGTGCTTTATTTACACAATGATCAATTATTCCGTTTAACTGTGAGGAGTTCATTTAGCAGAAAGCGTAAGGTTCATACAAGATGCAAACAAAACAACTAAATTGTGTGGAGCAAACAGCATGCTCCATCTGAATGCCGTCTGCACCCAAATACGAGTCAGCTGATGGGTCTGTCAACTTGGAGGCTAAGTGTAGTGATCAATAGCAACTCAAATCAAACTGTGACCCTGAGGATGTAAATCAAGTCGCATTGTGAGGTTCTTGATAACACCTTACCTTACCATTACCTATTTTTATACATCAGTTGCATTGTTCCACAACTTATTGTAGTGCATAAATGTGAACTTATCCATAACACACACAAACTCTGTTATATAGGGCAGCAGCAGCAGCTCCAAAAGCTAGAGTGCACTACTTGTGGTTTTGCAGATTTTTCGCACTTAACAAAGCATATCCATGCAATTTATTTCACTCATCCACAAAATGATCTGTTTCAAAGTTTCATAGTCCATTGCACTCCTGATATTGTGTAAAATTGTTCCACTAATTGTTTGTTGATGTATATCTTATTGCAGATTTTGCTTATGTAGCATAAACATACATTTGTTTATGAATCTGCTCAGAGCCGGGTGGCTGTAGTTCTGGTTGAGCACAGATGGCAGTGGGCAGAGAGATTGCTAATTGGAGACTTTGTTGCACACAGAAGCTTCCTGCAGTTAAAAAAAAAAAAAAAAAGAGCTGAAAGATTTTCTATATGGCAAGGGTTTGAGTCGATGTATAAGAGACGGCTGTGAAACACAGTAATCAGGCACATGTGAAGGGTGAGCCAGCAGATTACCTCCTGTTGAAGTCTCTAATGAGTGCTTCTGCTGACATGGGGGTGTGGATTAGGTCATCGTCTTACTCATGCACTGCATATATCTCATCAGAGCTGTGGTGCAGAGTCTTATCAAAACAAGGACATGGTTTTCATTTGTTTCAGTTCGGTTCATGGTTATTATATAAGTCAAGAATAAGTTTTCTTGTGTCTTTGTTGCAGAGAAAAACACAAAGATATTCAGACTGACTGTGTGAATTGCAGCTGAAATGTCAGATTCAAAACCTCCATATCAATGTTGGATAGCAAGTATCAGGTCTTTAGTCATCAGATCAGACTCAAGGTTGAAAGTCTAGACTGAACTCTCATCATCTCTGTCCAATTTATAACAAACTATTTTTACTGTGTAATTGGAGAGCCTCCTTTCACTACACTAAATGAACAGAAGTTAAGTTCTTTCTATTTAACGGATCTATAAAGCCATGTTTACGACGCATATAATCACTTCACTTGCTTGTGTATTATTTCTGAAAAGATTACAAACTTAATTGAAATTTTATTGAACAAAAAGATGCATTACAGATTTCAGGAGTTACTGTTAAAACTTTTTAAGCATATTTTAACCAGTTAACGTACTTAAAATGTGTCCACAGAGCTCGACCTTAGAGAATTTTTCCTCTGTCCACCTAAGTAGATGCCAATGCTGCCTGTTTTTGATTCAGTTATTATGATCGTCTTATGCAATGATAAAGTTTCCATTTCAAAGTTAATGACACAGCAACAAGGAGGTAAACAGTGATCAAAGAATAAAATGGCTCCTTACGTCAAATACTTTTTTCATTCAAGAAGCAAAGAGCTCACAAATAGGAGAACATTTGTCTGATGCTGATAAGGTTTGATATTTATTTTACCAGTTCATGTGAAATCATTTGGTTTTAATGACTTAGTCACTATGGGCTCTATTTTGGTGCTTCGCCGGAGACGTGCCGCAAGCGCAGAGTCAATCAGATCCGCCGCGCTGACAAGGCGTTCCCAAGCACATTTTGGTATTTTGGTGAGCCGCGCAGCCCGGCGTAAGTATCCCCCCTCCCTAACTCAGCTCCTCCCGGCAGCATAAATCATAGACGGGGAGGAGAGGGGGTTTAACACAGCCGAGACCTGTTTTCACCAATCACATTAGCTCCTCTCCTCGCCTTTAAATCCGCCACAGGCGAGGCGTATTACTATTTTCATGAAGTAGTCAAAGAGATCAAGAGATGTCTGAAGACAGTTATGCCACACGATGGCGACAGAGGGCAGCTGCTCAACAAGTGTCCTCCACACTCTCTCATCTGAGCACAGATGGATTTGGTGTGCGTAATGTTGGACCCACTGGTAAGACAAACACCCTTTTCCACAAATAAAGACACTCACATAAAGTTGCATATATTCAAACCTCACGTGACAAAGGTGGGTTGAGCGCACAGATCACAACATAAACTCCAAAAAGGCATTAAAATCGGAACCATCTGTGCGTAAATGACGCATCGCGCTCCGTGGCCTGGCTCTTTCTTTCATAGATGTTGGCATATAAAATAAATTTGGCTCACAAAACTGAATATTATAATATCCGTATGTCGGCTTAAAGTAGATCACGCATCTGAGCACTGAAACAAATCATCTGTTCAGCCGCAGCAGCAGCAGGAAGACGGACAGAGGACACGGAGACGTGTCCAGGTCGAGCTGTGCGAGAAATAAGAGGAATAAAGAAAAGGAGGGAGACACATTACATATCTTGTTAACTTCATCATGTGCGTTTATTTACTAGATATTTAATTTAATTTGATGCAGTTTCAGCTGTATTGATTCGGTCAGGTTGTGTGTCCAAACGCGTGCCAAACGCGCTCATCAGATCAGATATAGATCAGAATATATCGATATAGATCTAAATGTATGTGCTGACTCAGATTAATAGTTGTTGATCATTATTTATTGCACTGAAATCTGCCTGACACTGTGGAAACCTGCCGGTGAGGCATCAGTGACGTATGTCGATACGCCGCCGGTCTACCAAAATACTACTGGACCAGCTGCGTTCCGCCTTGCGCTGAAAGCTGACCAGGTTTGAATCGGCGAGCTTTCAGCGCACGTTACACGCCAGTGGCGAGCACGAAAATGTCACTGCGCCAGCTGATTCTGTCAACACCTCCCCCTGCCACGCCACCACGCCCAGCTTGGCGGATCTCGGCTCGCCTCCGTGCGACTCAGTCCACGAAAATACCAAACTCGCCTTACACCGGGCTCCGCCAGACGAAAATACAACTGCGCGGGGCTCGCCGCCCTCCGCCGCCTCACCGGCGCGAACGAAAATAGAGCCCTAAGTCAGTAAGGGGCGGATCCAGAAGGGTGGCAAGGGGTGGCATAACCCACTTCAAACCTAACTAGCCACTCCAGGAGCCACCCTTAAATGCCAAAATAGACAAAAATGTGTCGGTAAGAGATAATGTAAAATTAACTGGTGGTTATGCAAACTAGAATTTTGGCAGGATAAGCAAGTGTCTCAGGGCTTTGTCGCCAGCATATCTCAGACTATAAATGATGTGAATGTCATAACTCGGTGTAGGGATCAGTAATGTAGAGATGCGCTCGTCAGCTCTGATGCTGCTGCCTCGATTGCAGGACAGGATCTTGTCCTTCCTATTACAGATGATTTGGGTCCAGCTGTTCAGACTAAAAATGAAACATGCTGGACTCCTTTCCACAGACTGTTTTTTGATATATAACCAGTGAAGTTGGAAAAGGTAAATAAACGCTTTTAACTTGAGTGTGTGTACAGACAATGTGTTTGCCTTCATTTACTAGACTGTATACCCATGAATTTAGAAAAGTGGTGTATTTTGGTTAAAGAGTTTTCTGCTCTGTCCACTGTCCTGTCCTCTCAAAGTAAAGTGTTAATCCTGTCCAGTGCAAAAAAAAAAAAAAAAGAACCAAGTCCTCTGCAAAAAAAAAAAAAAAAGACAGTTCATGAAACAGAATGTGATTATTGAAGAAAAAGACAGCTGCACACTCCAGGGCTTATATGTTTACGGCAATTTAATGCATCAGACTGATGAGGGGCAGGTCTGTTGGAAACATCAACATCCTAGAACATCAAATTATCTGGAGTAGTGAAGCCCTGCAGTATGTGAGTCGTCTTTTTTATTTATACATTTATTTTTCCTGTAAAGCATTAACTCCACTCAGCACCTCTGCTCTTTAGTTTGGATGTGTGCTTCTTGATTTCTGTACATGTTACAGAACTGTATCACAATGAAATTTATGCTCAAACGCATAATTTCTGTGCTGTTGCATCAGATTAACTGAAAATTAATGTAATTTTGTTGCAAACTGGTTATAATTTATGAGGCAAATGAAAAGCTTGAAAGATGAAATTCTTACTTTTTCAGATGTACATTTGTAAACGTTCACTAATATGCATTTATGTTTGAATGTGTAAGTAGCTCAGAAACAGTAATAAGGAAAATCATCATGTCATTAATTTCTTTTTCAACTTAGAAAAAAAAAAGAAACAAAAAAAGAAAGGCTGAATGTTGGACACACACAAAACCCCCTATATTCCCTGAGATTTCCCTTCTCTGCAGGGTTGTGGTCGTCTTTGGGGTATTGCAGGAGGTTGCAGTAGATCTCTGAGCCTCTATCCAAAGAAAGTCGGCCTCTCTTCTCAGTTGGGGGTTAAATGCCTTGCTAACGGGCAGCCAAGTCAAGGGCACCTCTGTTGTAGTTTTGTATTGAAGGGGATCATTGCTCATTCCCCTCCTGCATCGAACTTGACCAGCTTGGAGGTTGACTGTGGCAACTTTCTTTTTTACTTCTAGCACTCCCTCATTATTTCTTCTCATCCTGGTCTGGCAGGCTGGCTGGTAGGGAGGATCGACATGCTCAGCAGAGCTCACAGTGTGCATGCATGAGGATTTTCTTGGTGGTATGGATTGACACTGCTTCCCTTCTGAGTAGAAATCCAATGCCCCGGATATTAAACATGATTATTTCTTAATGCTGTGTTCTCAAAGTGAAAATATTCCAGAGGAGGTTAGCGAGAGGGGGAAAGATCATGTCTCTCATCTGTGTGCAGATAAAGCCTCAAGTTGTTGCAACAGAAATTAATAAATGGAGCAAGCGTGAACCAAAAAGCATCCATAATTTAAAAGTCGTCGCGAACGTGGGAGTACAATCTCAAATTTACAGTCGGATGTGTGTGGGAGGGGAATACAGTGGTGCTGCTTTTTTAAAGGGAGAATGGCTGAGGAGGAGAGGAAGGAGCAGAGGGGAGAGAGTGCAAGAGAAAATAGAAAGAGGTGAGAGTGTTTCTGTGAACCTTTTTTGGGGGGAGGAGGGCAAATGGGTTGCAGCATTTTACAAAAGATCATCTAACAATGTTAGAAGGCAGTGAAACCAATGTAGGAGACAGATACACCCAGAAAACGGGGGAATCTGAATGATATGTTAAGCCCATTGTAAACTCCATAGATTGATTTATGATAAAATACTTCCTTTGTTTAAAAAATCCCATCAAGGTTGTCAAATGGTTGTGTTTTAAATGTTTTAATCACTGTATTTTGACAGTAAAGCAAAGTTAATCATTTTTTAACTGCACTTCAAATTACCTTATATTTTGTATTTCCAAATGACCTTTCAGTCCACATTAACAATGTAAATGAGTGTCTGACCCCCAATTTCCACCACATCCACAACAGCTACGAAAAGGCTGTATCTGCAGATCGTAGCTGATCATAACCATTAAAGCTACTGCGTCAATTTCCACTGGCTTCTTTCTGTTCCGCTGTGGATCACTGGACTCCGCAGCTGATCACAAGAGTTCTATTTTTTCAATATGCCGGAGCATGCTGGATAAATTCAGCACAGATTAGTAGGTGCTGGAAAAGAAGTCGGAGACAGAAACAAAATAAAACATCCGGCTTCTTTTCAAAATAAAACACTCCGTGTTTCAGGCGGATCGTATTTCACACCATGCAAACGGGCGAGGACGAAGTAAAGGTTTTTAGACAGCATTTCACCCCATTGACACCATGGATGAGGAGATGTTGATCCTAAAAGTCTAGAAAGTGGTTCCCTCCTCTGGAAGGACACAATCGACTGCTTATGTGATTATGTGGCTATAGAGAAATGTCGTTATCGGGCGATTCGCGATTGTGAATCCGCGGGTTCGCGATTCCCACTGTCCGTTATCCGTTACGACATTCGCCTCACAAACAGATCTAGTAGGAATTTGCAGACAGGGAAAATCGCCACCGTTCCAGATTGGAGCCGTTCTGGATGCGGTGAAAATCCTGGGTTAGAAGTGTCTTGATATGAGAATCAAATTAATGCAATGAAATATTCTTTACAGACTTGACTTAAAGATTTTCAAATAAATGCAGCACCAGTGGGGTCTGAACCACTACTTAAAGGTAGGAGACATCTTTAGAGTGCTTATTCTGTATGATACAGACTGTAAGAGAAAAACACGCCAGTGTGAGGATGTCCTTGGACTTGAGTCTTGAAGTCCTGCGGTCAGATCTCGGCTATTTAGCAAGTGCTGTAGTTAACTTCTCCAGTGTAGTTTCTTTCACGGCTCTTTGCCAGCTCTTTGTGACATTGCTGCCTGCTAACATCAGTCTGATAGCTGCACCTGTATGCTGAGTTTGTCGGTGGTAGAGTTCACATATTTCTTTTCATTTGTCAGTGGGGAGTTTGGTAGTTTTTTTTTTTTATTTAAGCGAAATGTACCATTAAAAAGGTAGTGGTGTAATTATTGTTCATCGTGGTGGCAGCAGGAAGCAGGGAGATGCTGCAGCTTAATTAAAGTGTTAAATAGGGACAATACAGCATTTAATTTAATTACCTTTAATAAAAAATAAATTATGTTTGGGCTTGAATGGCACAGGGATTACTACTTTGAATCTGTCTTAGACTTAATACTGAGAATCATTTATTTTAGTTGTGTTTGAGACTATGGCTGGCAGGATTTTGATTCACTCATAACAACAACACTGCAAAGTACAGAGGCCAACAGGTCAAAGTTTTACTAAGTAATATCTTGTGAGAGTTTTTGTCCCAGTAATGTGAATATCTTCCATTGTGTTTGAATGGGGGCCTCTAATGGACAGGGTTGTCACTGCAACTGAATAGCTTCCTGGTTTGATCATTGCACACAGGTGTGTCTGCAGTCACACTTTGTAAAGCCTTGAATCATACCTGTAGATTTCTTAGATCTCCATCTTTTCTCCCTGCCATTTTGTCCTGAGCATGTAAGTTATTTTCTTCAATCTGTTTAAGTGAGATATTAGTTTATCGATTGATGTAATGAGAACCATCAATTTCTGATATTGCATGTTTTAATTTGTGACTCCAAGGCTGCTTCTTAAGAAACTCTCAAGTGTCAAAATCTGAGATCATTATTGTCATGCAATATGCCATGGGTCTGTATGATTCAAGGGCATGTTCCTTAATTTCTAGCTATATGGTGATAAATTAAGGCACGTTTTCCTACTTGTTAATACACCACCACAAAAGAGGGGCCATGTACTTTCACCGTTAACTTTTAAAACTTGTGTGCTGTGCTCAAGAGCAAAGTGGCCCATTTTGATTAGACTTGGATTCCGACTCAGTACTGCGGATGTGACTCAGACTAGAAGGGTCAGTATAGAGAGCCAAAGCATGTATGAATGTAATCCCATGAGTAAATACAGGTTTCTTCAGAAGTAACTGAGCATGATTTTATTTATTATATTTGCAGATATGTGAATGACAATGAACCTTATTCACTGGTTAGGGGAAACGAGCAAACTATCTGACCAAAGCTTGTTCACAAACCATGAGTTTTCCTAAATATTTGGACGGAACTGACCAAACTTGCATTTTTATGATTTTAATAGATTTTTGTTACTGTGAAAAGCTGATTTTTCGCAGTGTAGAAATAAAGAGCAGGAAAGAAAAACAACAAACATCAGGAGACTTGCTCTCAGTTTTGATTCAGATTACTTTTTGTCTTTATATTATCTTTTATTACACAAAATAAGGTTTAAAAAATCCATCACATGTAGCAGCATATGTGTATTTGAATTCTTTATGATGTGACTACAACATAAAAGTGTTGTGCAATGACTGACAGTTTTACGTTCCCACTTGAAACCACTCGACGAAGTGGCTCCTTTGTAATCAAGCCTTATCGCAGTAATGATTATTTTGTACTTATGTCTCTAATGAGGGACCATTAAAAACAAAGTCATCTTGTTGGATCCCTGTTAATAGTAGGGGACTGCTGAATATGAATGAGCATTTTATTCTGTGGATGTACAGAGACGACTGTTTGGGTTAATTAGAGGGAAGCTGGTTTCCTGTGGCACCTGTGGAGCCCTGGTCTCTGCCTGCTGGGAAATAATGAACAGTGCGGCTCTGTAAGCGGTGTTGTCTACTCCGGCGGTAGGCTGCTCTTTTGCCCTGGTGCAAGATGAGTATTAAAGTCTGGGTGATGTTCAGAAAGTTCAGCTCTAATATGCAGAGGCTCTGTATCATGAGTTCAACTGGGAGCAGCACAGGCTAGATTAATGCTTTTGTCTGTACCAAGTTCAATTTCCATCTCCACGTAGACATAACTGGGGTCAAAGAGGGGCTGGAGCTGCCTCAAGTGCAGCAAGAGACATCTCCTCATGTCATCAGTCAATCGCTGAGTGTTTACAATTTCAAACTGAGTCAGGATTTTGTTGATGAGCTCTCTAGTCACAGATAGATTACGTCTTTTAAAAACTGATTAAACATTCACAAACTGAAAGAACCTGCACTCAACCAAGGAGCAGCAAAGTCTGGTCTCTGGATTTTCTGCAATTTCTGCTCAGTTTGTCATTTTTTTATCATGTTTTTTTGGGCTGCTGATGGATATCTCTGAAGAATTTATTCAAGAGAAGAGTTTATTTAATTGAGACAAAGCAATCTGAGCAACAGCATCCAATTCCAGTGGATATCTGGGGGCGTTATTGTGGTTGCCATGGTGGTGTGGAGGTGAAGGCAAAGTTGAAGACTAGGAAATGGAGATATAAACCCTTTATTCCATCAGTCATCACAGGAAACATCAACTTTCTGCCCAACAAAAGTGATGAGGTGGAGATATTGGTGAAGTCTGAGAAAGCAGACCATGAATACAGTCTCTTGTGTTCTTGTCAAAACAACTCAGACTCCAGTGCAGATCTATCTGGCTCTCAGAAGATCAGACAGAAAAGCTAAAACTAATGGCAAGAAGAAAAGAGGGGGTCTGGCTTTATTTGTTGACCAGAGATGGTGTAACTCTTCACACATAACTGTCAAGAAGTTGTGTTGTCATATTGAACTACTGGCAGTTGCTCTTTGGCCAAAATCGGAGGTGGAAACAAGATGGCTACATCTATGAAGGTTACTTTAGCGTTTGTTATTTTAAGTTATTTTAGCATCCCCTTTCATAGATGTAGCCATCTTGTTTCCGCCTCCAATTTTGCTTTTTCCAACTTGGTAACTGAAATGCTGGTAACTCGGGTGTAACGTCATTTCCAGCTTGGACATCTGACTTCCGAGGTAACTCGAATGCAGCATATGTTCCAGGAGAATTTAGTCATATCACAACAATACTTGTTAGGTAAACAACATTTCCCTCATCCCTTGTGTCACTCATCCTGATGAGATTCACTTGCTCATATTATGCTCAAACCAACTGTTTATCCCTCTCCTTCTGCCAGTACAAGAGTCACCTTTTCACCTCCTTTCTTGGACTGAAGTTAAAGTGTGGCTGTGTTTACTTTCATTCTTTTAAAGTCAGTGGAGAAGTGTTTTCCTGTTGCTTTTGTTGCACAAATTTGCTTGTCTCTTGTTTGTATTTAATTTGTTTTGGTATTTGACATAATAGGTCAACCAGAAGAAGATCCAACTCACTGGAGGGGGGGCACTTGTGATAATAGATTGATTCCCTAAAGCTGTAGCTTCCTGACATTATTACCTGACACTGTTTTTTTTTTTTTTCACTACTGAAGTTAGGGGATGTGGTTAAAGCTAAAACTGTAAAGCTGTTTGTTAGGGTGCTGGATGTGTCAATGAAAACTTTTCATCCATTGTCAAACCAAAAAGGAAAAGTAGTAGGTGGGTTTAAATGACCTCTTCTAATCAGGTTTGAAATGGTCCACTCATAATGTAGCAAGTCAACCATAACATAAATGACTAATAAGTAAGCTTTGACCAAAACAGACCTACCAGTCCAGTTTGAATAAAAAATGGCTGGTAGATTCCTTTGTTTTCTTTTCTTAAACAATTTTTGCATTGGTTTTAGTTTACCAAAAGGCTAGATCAGAAACAGTGTACAATCATGAGACAACAAAAATATCCTGTTGGTCCCTTACTCACCACCCTCTGACTCAACCCAATCAGGTCTGAATTTTGATGCATTTATATGGCTGACCCAAAGGAAAAAAATAAAGGAAAATGGAAGAGAATAAAAGTAAAATATAACTAAATAAGATGCTGTTAAGGTAGTAAGTGGAACAATACAAGGCATCAAAAACAGCCTATAAATGATATTGACCCTATTGTTTGCTGATTAAACAACCATACATGCACTCATCTGTACTTTGAGCGAACTTGTTTCCTTTTTCTCATGGCTTGAGATTGCACAAGAACACTTAAAGAAAAACTTTAACATTGCAAAACTGGTCAGAAAGTGAAATGAGGGTCATTTCAGACACTTGTCTGCATTGAAAATGAGACACCTTGAATGCTACCAAGCGACACCATAGACACTCAGCCCTCTTTTTTATTGTGTTTATTGCCTCACACTTCTATAATGTCACGCTGGTCTACAGCGAGTTTCTCTGCGATGATGTCACAACCCTAAGGGGTACAAACGGCGCCATGCTTGTAAAGACCAAAGTAGATCATATCACATGTGAACAGGAGACACAGAATCACCAATCGGAAAGATTTCAGTCAGAATAGCAAAAGGTGGTCATGCAAACCCACATACTGATCATTTCTCAAAGTGATGCCTGGCAGAGCCCAGTAAATTTTCAATTCAACAAGCTTTATTGGCACGAATGCTTTCATATATCAAATCAACCAGAGTCTGGCACATCTCACTGCTGCCTGTCAACAACATGGCTTCATATCAGGTCTCGCTCACCCTGCTGGGATTCTGATTAGGATATCCACCTGCCCACAGCTAACATGGTAACCAAACTACCACATTTCAAATCTCGAGCCACTGATCAAGCTGCTGTACTGAACAGATAGGTAGTGAGAGTGCTGTACGACCACACTTTCATTCTCATACCTGTAGAGCACTGAGGTGGTTTACTTTGCACAGTCCCTGAGGCAACATGCAAACTCTGTAAACAAAATAAAAAGTTCGCAGAGCTCAAACATTTGTTTGTAGACTAAGGAAGCAGTGCTCTCTCATGTAAAGATGCTTTGTCTCTGCTCTCAGATCTCCATTAGGTCACAGCTCCTCCCTAGAAACATATTGTGTAACCCTCCACCTGCCCTACATTGCTGGTGGAAATGGTCTGAGTAGTGGGTGACTGCTGCTCAGCTGCACTGTGCAGAATGAAAAGCTGGAAAGATATGCATCAAGTGCTGAATAAAGCAATCCAGCCCAGTGGAATGTGAAACAATGGCTCCTTCCAGGTGGTGATGTGCTGTGAGAGGAGTAGGGGGGAATTGGATGAGACAGAAAGCTCGTCTGGCTGGCTGGCTGTTAGCATTGGACTTGGCAGCTCTCTGCCAGGGAAACGCTGACAGGCAGGCACGCCTGTCACAGCACATAAGTGCCTCCTTGCACAACCCTGAGCCCTGTAGGGCAGGTCAGCTCTCTTGCGTTCAGCTCACAGCCCTCGGTCTCACACTGAAGCCACAGGTCGGAGAGCGAAGCGGGGGCGTGTGTCAGAGCCTTTATGTGGTTGAGAGAGTCTGTGAGATTGGAGAGGAGCCACGGGTGACATTGTGGAAAGGTGTTGTGGTCATTAGTTGACCTTAACTCCACTTAATTAAAAGAGGAAAGTTTTGTAATTTAAATACACTTGAGGTATATCTGTTTGCAAAGATTTATTAATAATAACATCTGATCACTGGAAACGACTCATGCACACAGTTTCTGCAGCTCTTTTTCATGCATGCCTCCCAAATCGATGATTATCTTGACATGTGACAGTTTCTAAACAGATCGAAAAACGATTCATTAAGCCTCATATCAACTTCAAACTGTGTCCTGCAAACTAGTCCATGTTTTATTTATATCATTACTTTTTGACAGATAACTCTGTTGTTACTCAAAATTTACTGACAAAACTTGTGATTATTTTTACAGGATAGGAAAATTGGACAGAAAACATCCACAGGAAAAATCGAAGCCTCATAGCTGCAATAAAAGTCATGCAATATGAATTATTTAAAAAAGTTCCCTTTTTCTCCTTTAAACCCCAAAAGACATAATTATAGTAGCTGCCATCTACATAAAGTGACTCAGGGTTTCTGCCTGAGAGAGAACCTCCTGCATGATAAAAATCCCAAAATGTTACTTTACTCCCATAGAGGCAGACAAGTGTGGTTAATAATATCTATTTCTACTCTAACGTAAGAGTGACGAATAACATGTGCTAAAATAAGTCTGTATGATGTGTGCATCCAGATGGATGCATCCAGATGCACACAGATACTGTGTGTGTGTGTGTGTGTGTGTGTGTGTGTGGTAGTGTTGTGTAGATTACCTCGCACTGACCTTTGCAGTTGAAGCTGATGTTTGCATAGCCAGGCCCTGCTGTTTTGACTAGCTCAGATTAAGCAGCAGCTCTCTCTCTCTCTCTCTCTCTCTCTCTCTCTCTCTCTCTCTCTCTCTCTCTCACTATCACTCGTCTTGTTTTCCTCGTGAAGATAACGGGAGACTTTTTAAAATTCACTTCATGACATTTGGAAGAAGAACTCCTGCAGCAAACGAACAGGGTGAATAGTTTTGTTAACATATGTTATTTCTTGGTTAAGTGAAGACAAATCATTTAATAAGTGCCTTCTGAAGGCAAGACAACAAGGCAAATATTTAGACATTTGAGAACCTATTTTAAAAATGTAAAGATTTCACCACTAAGACTCAGAATTAAGCATGTGTTTTTATCTTAAAAAAGACTAAAAAATCTTATTACACCAATTAAAACCACATTCAACTGGCCAGTCAAGATAAACATATCACTTTTGAGACAGGTGACAAACACATAAAAATCTGCTGACAAAGTAAGCAAAATGTACATGTTTCTTGTTTCCTGTCAATAAGCATCTTTTATGAACCTTTCTTGAGATGAAATTTGTTCCCAAAACACATGGCAGATTTAAGAGCTCATTTGAGGACTGGTGTATCAGTCCCAAATTTTTTGGCTATCACGTCACACATTACACGTCAACGCATCCCTGCAGTACAAGTACTGCGAAATGACAAATTTATATTACCAAAAAATGTACGGTTTCATCATGAACAATACGAAATGGCGCACCCCCTAGTGGTCACCGTTCACATTTTCTGTTCAGACTCTCCTTCGTTTAATTTTTCTGCTTTTATGTGATTTGTCTGGTTTGTGTACATTGGCACATTGGTACCTCTGCTCTTTAAATGTGCTATAAACTCTATATACACTCAGCCTGTTAGAGTTTTCCTTCCAACAGTGCTATCTTATTTTACAAAACCCCTGATGAATATTTTTTAAAGGGTATAGGCCCTTCATATATAGAATTTGTACACTTCTCCTGACTGGGAACATTGAGCATGAGCTTCAGATTAATAATGACATCTCATTCATTAGAGTTAGAGAAAACAGGTGTAAGCAGCTCTACAGTTTAGGATTAGCTTCACAAACTCTCTCTCACTTTCTATTTTAAATCCAAAGAAGATGTTTGTACAGTACATAGCTCTAATTTAAGGAAAATCAATTCGTACATCTCTCTATCCTATTAGTACTGTTTTTTTTTTTGTTTTTTGTTTTTTTTACTCATAGCAGGTTTTATTTTTGGCTTCAAATATCTTTCCTTTTGCAGTGTTAAAAGAGATGAGTCAGAAAATGATGATTTTCCCATGCTTTATGAGGTTTCTCAGCAACTCCAAACAAATGCCCTTAATCCGTCTCTTTGTTCTTGCAGAGTTTCATTGCAGCATATTGATCCAACTTGACGTGTATAGGAAATCAAAGTCACCTGAGTGGGAACTCTTCTTATTTCCTGCTATAAATTCATCTTCATAAGTCTCATATTGCTTTGATTTTCATGATCCTGGGAGATTATTATGTATATTGATTCTGGTTTGGATTCTGACCTGGTGAAGAAAGACGAAGAGCACCCGCTCTGTCTCATGGCCCTCAGTCACACCTGCATATCTCACATTTTCTAACAAGCTGTCCGACTAAATGCTAAATGCTTTTCAGCCGCAGAAATTACAGGGTGAATTGAAAGTGACTGTATGGAGTTAAAAGGAGAGAGCAGATGGAAGAGGGAAGATGAAAAGAGACTCAAAAGAAGATGAATCGAGATTATCCTTGTGAGATGATACACTTATAACAGACACGGGTTGTATTTATGGCTGGATTGCTTTTTCAGGGGAATGAGAAAAGTGCCATTTCAGTATAATGCAGACATTCATTCTGCTTTATATGCCTGAAATCTCAAACCCCTTTCTCTTTTTCTCTTTGTTCTTTCCCACAGATGTGCTGTGGACTGCCGATGATTCCTCCTCCTCCTCCAGGTCAAACTCAATGGCAGACAAAGACTGCACTCCCCAATGCTCCACTTTCCCCTGAGCTCACAGAGACAGATCTTCTCCACGGCTAAAAGACACACTTCTTCTCATCCCTCTGTCTCTTGGTGGACATCCACTCTTCGCCATGACTCGCCTCCTGGCTTCTGCCTTTCTTCTGGTCCTCCAGACGTACGCCGCCCCGCCTGAGGTTATCCAGTCGGAATTTGACATAACCATTGACCCACTAGACCCTGATTCTGCCCTACCAGCCAATTTCTCTGGAGTGTTGCCTTCATCTCCACCCCCCGGGACTAGCAAAAGAGCCCCACACAGTATCATCATCGGGGTGCGCAAGGGGGGCACGAGGGCACTGCTGGAGATGCTGGACATCCACCCTGAGGTTGCTGCTGCTGCCACCGAGGTGCACTTCTTTGACTGGGACGAGAACTATGCCAAAGGGTTTGAGTGGTACCGTGAGCTGATGCCCTACTCTTACCCACACCAGATCACAGTGGAAAAAACTCCAGGTTATTTCACATCAGCTCTGGCACCTGAGCGCATCTGCGCCATGAACTCGTCCATAAAGCTGCTGCTGATCCTGAGAGACCCGGCAGAGCGTGTCATATCCGACTACACCCAGGTGTACTTCAACCGCCTTGAGAACCACAAGCCCGTGCAAGCCATCGAGAACCTGCTGGTGCGCAACGGAGCCCTAAACACCAGGTACAAGGCCATCCAGAGAAGTCTGTATGATATCCACATGCGGAACTGGCTGCGTCACTTCCCCCTGGAGCAGATACACATTGTAGACGGGGACGCTCTGATCCGTGACCCCTTGCCTGAGCTCCAGAAGGTGGAACGTTTCCTCAACTTGCCCCCGAGGATAGTATCCTCCAACTTCTACTTCAATCAGACCAAGGGGTTTTACTGCATCCGCAGTGATGGTCGAGAGCGGTGTCTGCACGAGTCTAAGGGGCGCCCCCACCCGGCTGTCAACAGCACCGTCCTCCAGCAGCTCCGCTCCTACCTTCAGGAGCACAACCGAACCTTCTTCAGGCTGGTGAAGCGCACCTTTGACTGGCAATAAAACACCTGAATATAAACCAGACTCAAGGGAGCAGCTGCCTTGTTTGTAAAGAGGATAAAAAGGGGCATAAAGCACTTTTCACATCTGACTTTTAAAACCCCCTTTGTGTATCCTCTTGGTATCTACTGTTGTGAACTCTGGTTTCATCGGAGCACCTCTATAATCACACAATAAGGCAAAAAATACAACAAACTGTAACTAGAGGGATAAGATTAACAAGAGGAATCTCCAAGCTTAATAAGTCATGCTATCTCTGCTGGAAGCGTTAAAGTGATCGAAAGTGCAGCAAAAACAAATTTGTGAACCTTTTTTTCTTCTCTCTTGTTTGATATTCTCGTACTTGATAATAAATTGTTCTGCTTTCAAATGTACCAGCATGTTTCTGTCTCCCTCCATTCACACCGGCCATCCAAAGCCCCCCAGCTCTCTAACTTGTGTTATTCAGTGAGTACAGGCAGGTAGGTAGGCCGGAGCATTAGAATAAGCCTTTGATTTGCTGAGGTAGAAGGTAGACATTAATGCAAGGAAATGGGTACCCTGGAGCAGCGCTTTAGTACTACAGGAATCACTAATGGCTTTGGACATTGAAGGTAGCCTGTGCCTGCAGCTAAATCAGTCACACCTCCATAGTCAGCAAGCTCAACTCCAGGGAGCTGCTGGTGCATTTTGCTGCTGCTCTCCTCAACAATTTGCTCAGGTGTTAAACTTCCTCATTAAATCATACGCCTAGCAGCGCTGTAAAACATCTACAAATGCTACTGTACTTGTGTAGCCTAAATGTTCTCTCTTTCCTGAATCACTCTTGGCACCCAGTTTTTCCCAGAAACATCTTGTCGTCTCGGCACATCAGATAGACTCGGGTCATGTTTCTTTCATTGATTAGGCTTTAAACAGCAGCCAAAGCTACAGCTCCACTGGGATGTGATATTCATGTGATCTCCCCGCTCTGTCTGCTGGAATAAGCACTATAACTCTCCTGAGGCAAGTATTCATTGATGCTACATTGGATCTATATCCAGAACAGAGCGGAGCAGGGGTGGGGGCATAGCTTTGGGCTACACAGAATTATGCCGTATATTTGTATAAATAGTGCATGCGAGATCTGGGGTTTTCAAGTATAATTAGACTGGAAAGTGATGCGATTTTCATGTGTGTACACAAGTTGTGTTTGATGGAAAATGCAGCGCTAAGTCTCCTACAACTCATCCCTCTCAGGGACTTTTCATACGCCTGCTCACCAGGGGGCACTTTGACTCCAGAGAAACTCACGAGGGAACTGAGCGAGGTAATGAGTCTAGACGTGCTCTCTCTAGGATCCTCTCTGCGGGTGCACATGTAGGTGAAAGAGCCTGTGATACTTCCTGACCCAGGTCAAGGCCCGTCTGCTGTGGTTCAAGTCCAGAAGAGAACAACTTGAGTGGCCATGCTCCACTGCCACAACACACACACACATTCACACTCACGCGAACATTACCAATCTTTCCTGGGATGCTACATTAGTACAGTACAGAGTCTCCATTTAGCAGGTGTGCAGGAAGGACAGAGGGGCATGTTTTACTTACAATGAGAGAGCACACACTAAACAATTTCTCTTTTCAGTCCTCATTTATTTGAAGTAAAGCTGACTGGGCGTGCTTGTTGTTTTGCAGAACCACTGCGAGCTGCAAAGCACATTTGTAGCTGTCTAAAGTTGAACTGCAGTCAGCAAAGGGTCTCCTAAGAACATTTATTTCAGCAAATCTCTAAAAGTAACATTATTTAATACATGTCTCATTGATTGCATGAGCTCTGCAAAATGAGCCTTTACTTTGACTTTGTCATCGATAAAAGAGCTGCAAATGCTTCAATCTAAGGGTGGGAAATATGGCAGAAAACTTATCATTAGCTTGTTTAAATCACCATCCTGGTCATGACTTAATTTCAAAACTATAGTAAAAATAACTGATACAACACAGCTATCTTAGCCCTAAAATAAAATTTAAAAAACACATTTAAGCTAGAGTACCTGTTTAAAAAGAGTTTACAGCCACAGCCAGAATTTTTTGACCAAATTTAGCAATCTTTTGAACTCAAAAAATATTTTTGTCCAATAATATGTAATCAATTAAGGCTTTAAAAAGGAGTGCAAACCCTCATTTTATTATAACATGTAAACTGTATATTATTTGTATTTCAGTGCAGACAAGTGATAAGCTACATACGTTTTTTTGTTCCTTTTAATGACACTGACGGCACAATTTGAAAACCTATTTCTATTGGCTTTTTGGAGTATCTGTCTGAAAACTCACTACACTATATACTGTACCTGCTACACTAACATGCTTTAAGTTATTATAGCCCTCTTAACTTTTTCTCTAGTTTCTAGAGTCTTCTTGTGTTTTTCTGATGCGCTTTCCCTCTCTCATCCTGATCAGATGACAGTTTGAGTCGTTCCATCAATAAATCAATAAACGTCAATAAAGCCCTTTGCTTGTCTCACGTAAGGTGCAATCTTTGAGTTGGAGCGTATTTGCTTGTTAATGGAGTCAGGGGTGCTGTACTGCTCCATAATGACAATGTCAATGATGAGGAAAGAGTTAAACAAGATGGTTGACATGAATAAAACTTCTACTCTCAGTCTAAAACATATTTTTTATACTCAGCATGGCTTCAATTCTTGATTTAAGTGCAGCTGAAGAATAATACATTTGTCTGTTTACTTTACTTTGTCACTGAGGCAGCACTCAGTATTTAGCCTGAACTACACATGGCTGCTACTTCCTGTAGGAGTCTCACTGTCTTATAGATTTAAAGCAATATCAATTATGGCATGTCATTGAAAATGATAGAAAACATTGAAGAGAGATAAACAAAACATAGACTAAGCAAGCCTGGACTCAAACTTCTCAAACAACCATATACTTTAGTAACAATGACGATAACTCTGCTGCAGTAGGTGATTCACTTTTCTTTAATAACATGGTTTTATTCTGCATGATTCATGTCTGACAGAAATAAGCAGTTGAACACACGGTGGAGGAGGTGGTGGTGGAGGATTAGGGCCACATTATGAGGGGGAAAGAACATTTCAAGACTTAAGTTTTAGTATGACTAGAATTAAGTTGTAATCCTGTGAGAATAAAGTTTTAGTTTCATGATAAAGAAGTTGCAATTACAGGCTTGAGTTAATCTACATGTCAGTTTAGATTAAACATAAATGGATACCTGGAGAACAGCAAGCCTGCTGTGTTAAAATGAGGAACATGAATCATCTCAGATTTCTATTTTTAAGTTTAACATCACAAAATTACTAAGCAATTCTCATTTAAGATCAGGAGACTAGCTGCTCTTCTGATCTATCTTTTTAAACAGCATTTAGGCTAATTAGACTAAAATAATGAGTTTTAACTGATAAATTTATGACATTATTCTCATGAAATCCTCCTAATAATGCAATGTGAATTTGCTTAAAATTTTTCAGACTCAAATCCAACTCATTTGGTAAGAAAGTACGAGTAAACAAGAGCAGTTAAGTGTTCGTATGATTTTCTTTTAATAACAGGGACAGACTGTCTTTGCCTTTACCATCTTTGCATTCATCATGTTTGCAGTCTGACACCAAGAGGAGGTCAGCGACTCAGCATATTGACTACATGTCAAATAACACTAACACAGGGAGGGTTTTAAAATGAGCCAGGTATTTTCCAACTTAGTGTGTGCATCTTAATAATGCAGTGAATTCACTGGATGTGCCAAACATGCTTTTAGATTCGATAATTAGTCCCAACAAGATATGTTGCATGCTGACTCCATCTCCTTCTTTGTGTTCCTAGTTTCTATCTCTTAAACTGTCATTTCAATCAAGGACTAAAAAGGCCTAAAATATAACCTTAAATAAGCAGCAAAACATAATGATAAAAAATAGAGATGATTTGGGGGAACCAACAGCTCTGGTGCCCAAGATTTTGCAGTTATACAGACAGCTAATGGTGCTGTGCCAAAATCGCCACAATAATGCTGCAGACATGAGCCCTGTATTTGGCTTTCTAACTGTCACAGTCTTCATTTATTGGATCTACAAGTGGTCCGATCAGGATAGGAGGGAAAGTTAATAGAATATATATCCTGGTCGACATTTTGCTTTGTTGGCCACAAATCTACCACACTCAGCCCTGTCCTAAAGCATTACCAGCCAAAGCATCTGCTCAGTCATACTGTAAGTAGACCATTTACAAAATAAACATTATGTTTAAATTTGACAGACTCAAATCTATTCTGCACCGAATTTTCTGGCGTTCATCTATTTCAAAAATTTCATCCAGTGCTGGAAATCTAAACCTCCTGTTGGCTGCGGAGAAAAACTCAGCTGCCAAGTCAGTGGTGTCCATCCTCTGGGAACAATAACTGTGAGTATTACATATCATGGCAACCCTTCAAAAATTGGTTGAAATATTTCAGCCTGGAGCAGAGTAGTAGAATCACTGCTATTGATAAAGCTGCATGAGATGCAAACAAGAGTAAAAACTGGTATCAACAAGAGCTGTTTTCATTGTTTTAACTAAACTGAAGCCAGCTGTTTTCGCTTAAAAGCATTGTGACAGGATACTAAACTGCTTCAATCTGGTCATTATGTCTGAAAACAGCTTAATTAGAGCTCCGAAATTAAAATCAAACATCTTGAGCATCTTTACGTTTGCTTAGTGGTTTTTAGGATTTGAGTAATTTCAGAATGAACTCCTCTGTTATCCCTTAAAAGCACAAAGTGATTTAATTTCGACCAACATTAATGTAAAGGAAAGCCATCGAAGACCCTGACACGAACAAGTTGCTTTAACTAATGCGTACTATCGAGCGAGTCACTTATCACGGCATGTCTTTGATAACTGCCAACCCCGAGCGTAATTAAAGGTTTGAGGGGTGGTCTGAAGCAATCTGCTGTAGATGCTTCGGCTGCTCTTGTCATCCTAGAAGCCTCTAATGATCTGTCTGGGATTGTGATTGATGAAGCACTTAGCATCGAATCAAAGCGCGAGGAACGTTGGCTGCTTGCTAAGCTGTTTGCAAACTAACAGCCACTGTATTTGCACCATACAAGTCTATTAGGGTGGTGTCCTTGATGTGAATTAATGACCTCCGTGTCAACATCGGAAGCTAATGCTCATTAAGATTTGACTGACACGGATCAGCAGGTATACATAAGCTATAAACAGCAGGGGTCACTGAGTCGGGCTGCAGCTCAGTGAAATGCATGAGTCGGTTTCTTCATTTTAAATCTCAGTCCATGAACATTGAAGCAACAGCAGCACTGCAACAGCAATTAATTACACCCTGGATGGTTTGGATTTTTAACGATGATACACTGTTTTTATAGGATTTCAAAGATAACCTTATTGCCAGCTGAACGAGTCGCGATGTGTTTATATCTCTATTAAATACAGAGCTACTCCGCACAGCTGTGCACACAGGTGTGACCATCTGGACGGTGCCTTCCAGCTCTTATCACTATGAAGCTATTTCTAAAACATCAAGGTGACGCTTTGCAGGATAAAAAAAAAATGCACTTTTATTCATTTTTTGCTGCCAAGGCATTACCAGGCAGCAGCAGCGGGGTGCTTTTTAGTTCCCTGTTTCTGGATCAAATGCAAAAAGCCTGTGGGGACTGATGCATACCATATTATCCAACAATGCCATACACAAAACCAACCCACTGAAGCCTTTTTACATCTTGCTTGATCAGAGAAAATATGAGCATAAATCTAATGAGATCAGGGACTCAGAAGCCGACGTGTTTCCCAAAATACACGCTGGATTATCGCAAACACAAAAGGCCCAGAAACATAAGAAGAGTTGAGATAAACCTGTTTTTCACACATAATTTAAAGGCTCCTTGTATTTTTTTCCCCCCTTTGTGATTACTTATTCATTTGTTTGTTGATTTATTTTTCATTGCCTCGGGCACAGAGGGCATGTGTTTGATGCTCTCATGGCAGTCTTTACTGAAGGGGAAGGAAGGCTGCTGCTGCATTCAGGTCAAAGGGAGGAGAAAAAGACATGTCTGCTTATTTGCAGCAGAGTTATAAAAGCCTCTGATTAATCCTTTGAGGCGCTGAAAAGAAAAGGATGTTTAAAAAAAAAGCTGGGTTGAGATCGGGGCTGAATGCAGAGCTCATTGTAAAAAGTCTTTGTGCATGCATGCGTAAGTGAAGACAAAATGAGGCACAACTTCCTCCTGCTAGTTGATGCCTAACTTCACAGCAGGAGGGTGAATGTCAACAGGGTCACTGATGCAGCTCCTCTAAACACACTCCTTGATGCACTGCAAGTATGATGTATGCAGTTGAAGAGAAAACATGTCAGATGTGTGTTTTCAACAAGCAAAGTTAGCTGCCTGTGCTGAGGCAGTTTTATACTTCCCTAAAATAAACCAGGATGTTTACTTGTCAGGGGTCCTAATTCCAGTGTGTTTGTGGGGGTGAAGATCACCGGTAAAGAAATGCACTTCTTTATATTGGAAACTGGCAATTTCACCAGGCAGTACTGTGGACACTGGGAGTCACATTTAGCGACAAATGCTGTTTTTGTTATTGTTGTGCTTTTAATATTTTTCTCAGTGGCCCTTGACAATGAAACTTCATCCTTGACACATCTACGAGGAAACATTTAGCCACTCTGGCGTCACCAGTGATTTTGAGCTCCATGAAAAATACCACCCCTAAAGTTTTAGTGATCTTTAGCATCTTTATAGGCTTCCCTACATCTCTCCCTCATAAAGCACACCTGTTAAGCTTAAGATTCAGTTAATTGAGTTTTATTTCCTGCATACATATGCAAGCTTTAAGTTTTACCATCTGGCTATACATACAGAATATATTAAAACAGAGAATAACTTTACTTAAGTGAACAGCGCTACAAAAGGTGATGAGCTAAAAAGCTTGGAAACTAGCGCTGCGCACCACCAAACACTTGAAAGCATAAACAAACTCCATCTTTAGACCTGACAAGACATGCATCCTTCCACACCGAGCGCTCTGTTTCTCCATATGTGTGAGTGCTGAGACAGCATATAGACGACTGCGTGTCTGTTCTTCTGGCTCCAGCCTCTTCTCTCCCTCAGCCTCTTTTATCCCTCAATCCTCCCCAGCAGCCCTTGTCTATCCAAATCAAGAGCTGGCGGAAGAGTGCCAGAAGGCATTTCACTCTGGAATATGAAATCTACTCTCCTCTGGGTTTACAGTCCAGCCCTGGGTCCCTGCTCTGATTCCTTCATAGCCAAACAACAACAAACAGCCTGAGTGCAGCCATGGCGGAAAGCATCACATTTTACTGCTGGATTATAAAGGGCCAGGCCCACAGGAGTAAAGTGTCACACGAATGCTATTTCCTGCTGCTGCACAGAGGGGCAAGAGGGACTGGACTAAAGGAGGAGGATCCCTCAGAGCTCCCTTGAAGTGTGTCACTCTCTCTGTCTGTCTGTCTGTCTGTCTGTCTGTCTGTCTGTCTGTCTGTCTGTCTTCTTCCTACAGTCAGTGTCTCAATATTGGCACCTCTTTCATCCTTTCTTCTTCTTCGTTTCTTGACTTTTTAAATGCTTTATTAGCTAAAGAAAAGTCACATCTGAATCCACTCATTTTTCGGTGTCTCCTTCATCAATCTGTGAATTTTATTATTTCAGGCTCTCATTCAAACAATAGTATCAGGTTCTTAATTTCAAGACACTTATTTATGTTATACAAACTAAGTTACTGGGGCACCTTCCTACAGCTAATTCATTTCAAAGCAGCCCCTGTGTGTTGCTCCATTTGCAGGCGAGTACAGAGATGTGAAGATAAAGTGTGTTCAAAGAGATAGCACCGACTTCAGAGGGAATGATAACATCAGCCCGGTCCCCCTCAAGTCCTCGGTAAAGTGAACAACTTCCCCTGGGGCTGCTACTAATCCACTCGCCTTATGGCAGCTAAAACAGGTAAATAAGCCAAACGGAGGGACAGGAAGGAAAGAAAAGACCGGGATAAACAACCTCTCAGCATCGCTCCTTGAAAATAATTCCCCACATTATGTTTCATAACGCTGACATCTGTTTGATTCTTATTAGGATGTGATTATTTTATATTTAGCTCATCAGCACTTGTGCAGTCGACATTTACAGCACAGGTGGTCTGCATGTTTTACACTGCTGATTCTAAATACACGGAGTAGTTGCCACTGCATAATTATGAATAGAACAGAAAGCATGATAACACCTTGAGTATTTAAATAAACATCATATCTATAAGCTAAAAAGCCTCTCATTAGGGTGCATACAAGAAGAACACATGCCCTTTAATGCACTTAAAAGCACTCATTCATGTATTATTCTGCATGATATTACATACAAGGCTGTTCATCAAAGGTTTTTCCTGTGACATCCCAGCAGTACTTGGACTGAAAGTGGCTGATAGTACACTACACTATGTGCTGCTACATGTGCCAGCATTTAGCAGCATGTCATGGCTGGTATATGCCACTAGTGGGCCAACAGTAGTGGCCTAGCTGCCTCACTAAGGTGTCAATTATCTTGACAGTAGAGTCTGATAGATGAACTTCTGACCTCTGAACTGATTCCCAGTCAATCATAAGGTGTGTAGATACAATTCAGGTTTATCATTTATGTGAACTATTAATAATTCCTTGTTTGCACACTCCAGTTAGATACACTTAGAAACCCACTCCAATTGTGCTTTTTTACTACTTAAAATGTTATCAGTGGTCTTTAAAGTGATTATGAAGTTTTTTTTTTAGCCAAAATCACATTACCTGTTTCATTTTCAAGGGCTTTTCTTCTGCAGAGCTCTAGTAGATCATTAGCAATTCACCTCTGGGTCATGGGCGAAGGCAACGCTGCTCTGCACACTTCTCCTCGATTTAGCTTGTAGCCTGCCGGTGTAGAAGAAGAAAAAGGTAACATAGGTGCTATTCAGCTCTCTGACACTATTGTCTTAAGGGACATGATCAAAGCTATTCATCTTATCTGCAGTGCAATAACAAGTAAACTTGCAACCATTTTTAAGAAGGTACACAGATGTTACATGACTCATTTCCACACTAAAACAGCTCATCAAACCTATTAAATGTAAGAGTTGAAGGTTCAGTTAGAAATGCAGCAGTCAGTTTTCACCAGGCCTAACACCATAGATACAGGAATAGGCTCGCTATCGCTTTTGCTAGCGTGACACATAAGTAAAGATGTTTACTTTTATTTTTCCAACTCAGAGAACTGCTCTCATTAGGTCTGCATGGCTCTCTGGACCTAGACTGGTGGATCTTGGTAGACTGGTGACATTAAAGCACATCTTGGTTTGAAAACAGGTTGGGCACCCCTGACCTAGTTAAACAGACAAAATTACAGAATTTGCATGGCCATTAGGTTGTGCTAAGTAAGATGTAATGTGCTATCATCATTACCCTTCAGCAAAGACACTCCAGCTGTGGTGAATGTAGTAACTTCAGATTGAGGGCTGATCCCTGGTGCTGATGCTAACTCAGGAAGTTGTGTCAAAGCAGAGGACAAATTTGTGTCAGTCCCTGAGATTCAAGTTAAGGATCAAAGAACTCAAAGTATCCAAATTTGTCATTTAATGAAACCTGCGTGAGGTAAAGATACTCACCTGAGTTTTATCAGAGTACACCACAAAGTGCAGCAGAGAAGAGACTCTTTCACATTCATGGTATTTGCCAAAATGAAGGCTGGTGTCAGATGTGGTGACTGCTGCGTAATCTCCTCTGCCCGCTGGACATGAATCCCTGAAACCTCACAGTGAAAAATAAACTGTCACCTTAACAGCAGTGAGCGAGTGATCCATCTACAGAGAGCAGGACTCACCGATGGTAGACCTTTTACCTCCACATCCCTCTGGTATCGTAAAGAGTCTCAGCGCAGCGGGCTGTCCTGAGCTCTGGGACCTTTAAAGATGTTTTCTGCCGCATTTCCGGAGCACTGAAGATCAAACAGGTTCTGATACTTTTATCTGTTGATGCCCACGGAAACTTCTGTGGTGTTAAAAATGTTAGATTCTGATGGTGGGGAGCAGAAGTGGGATGAAAGAGGAACAAAAATCTGTCATTTATAGAAGTCACATTTGTCTAAACATTTTACTTCTACCAAAATATGAATATTTGTTACGTTGATATTAAAGCCACTGTAAGGAGTTTTTAACATGGTATAAAGCAAGCACATAAGAAACCAAGGCCATCAGAAATATGACTTTTTCTAAGTTGTATTTTTTTATTCATTTATGTGAAAACAAGACAAGTGAAGAGGTATCATTTTGTCCACAGGGGGCAGCAAAATCAACACAAACTGTTCCTCACTGGAGCTTCAGCTAAGAAACTATCAAAAGTCAGTCCAGAATCACACTGAGCTTTGAAGCAGACAAATAAGATATCCAGTTTGAATGTTGTCATGGTCATTATTAAACCAACTCAGTGAGTGCTCTCACACTGTTGACACAGCAGCTCGGCCCAATTTGACATCAACTTCACTGGCAGGTAAAAGTCGCTTTAAAGAAAGGGTTAATTGATTTGGACATTTGTGTTCACACTTGTAACAGAATCAAATGATGAGAGGGAAATTTTACAGAGTTCAGAGAAAGTGTGAAGAGGCTTCAGCCAGAATTGAAAAGGACATAAATATGGAGGAGGTATTTCTCACACATCTCCCTCTCTTATTGCTCTTCTTGTTGGACTGCCTGTGTGCTGAGTGTTGCTTTCCATCCAAGATGAAGTCTCTGATACAAACACATCCAAATTTCAGAGATGGATTCTTTTAAAGGAATCCCTACAAACATTGGTATTTTAATGGTGATTCTTTTTTATAATGTTAAGGTGCTTTTGCATCAGTATTTCATTTTAATTTCTTTGTTTGGATTTAGAAAACAAAATGACTCAGCCAGCCAAAGCACACAACATCATAGGACCATGTCACATCCTTCTTGCCAATCACATGGGTGAACAAATGCTATTTGTACTGGTCAGACTTTGCATCACTCTAAGACTCAAACTTACATTTGCCAGTTGACCTACCAAAATAAATGAGTCAAGGGTTCACTCTGAGCAGTCAAGCGCTCAAATACCATGTCAACATTTGGGCAGATGAGCACGTCATTACTCAAGAAGACGGAGAGGTTTACAAACTTGTGAGTCAGCACATCAGTGAAAGGGGGCTTCACTGCTCTGCCAGACAGTGTCACACAAAGGTCAGGAGACTGAGTTATGTGTAAAGGTTTGAGACCAGCTCAGCAAAGAGGAGGATTCAGTGATGGGAACGATAAATTCCTCTGGTTCAACAAGCCAGACGAAATTCTCAGAACTGAATCCAATGTTTAAGGATTAGATAATGCTGAGCAATTTGCACCAGCTTTGAACATTTAGCGAGTTACAGTAGGGTGGAGAAACCAGACTTTTGAATGACAGTCATCTACAGACAGACTGCATTGGGTTTAGAGTGGGGATAGAAGGAGATTTTAAAAAAGAGATTGATAAAGACAAAGAGCAACAACAGTTTTGAGAGATGCTTGGTTAAAGTGACATAGCAGTGATAGCATTTGTAATGAAGAAGCTGAAGTGAATAACTGTCATTTGAATTAACCCAAATGAAACAGAAGAGACAAAATGTTCTATCATTAACATTAGCTTTGTAGCAGTGATAATAATGGTGCATGTAGAGCATACAGCTGGAAAACAGGCAGGTCCACAACAGCAGGATGTCTGCAGCAGCAATCCAGAGGAACCTACATCATGATGGAGCTCAGGGACTCCCAAAAATGATTGAGGTAAGTGACTTTAACGAGAGTTGATGATTCAAAGTTAATAAAACACAGACAGATAGAGTAGGGTGACCATATGTCCTCTTTTACCAGGACATGTCCTCTTTTTGGGGGGCTGTCCGGGTCTGGCTTTTCCGGCATTATCCTGGGAAGTTAATAAAATCCTTTAAATGTCTGTGGTTTTGTACATAAGATTTAATCATGTGTCACATGGACTTACCGAGTTAGAAGCACATAAAAGACACTCGATGAAACCCGAAAAACTCTCAAAATTAACTTTGTGCGACTCTGTGCCTCTGCCCCCGTGTAGCATTTGTTCACCCATGTGATAGGCATTTTGGTGAAGTCACCCTAAGATAGAGGGTAAAGACACTGAGAAATGTGCTCAATGTGCCACTTCCCCCGGCAGTCTAAACTTATAGCAGCATAACTAAGAGCTGGCCCAGGCCTGAACCAGCTCGAACTGTAAGCTTTATCAAAGAGGAAAGTTTGAAGCCTACTCTTAAAGGCAGAGAGGGTCTCAACCAGCGGGTGATCTCAGAGGAGAGGGGCCTGATAACAATGTTCTGGTGACAAAAAAGGTAACTACAAGCTCTTTTAGACATGATGATGCCTGACCCATGAAGAGCTTCATGGGTCAGAAGATGGATCTCAAAGTATATTCTTGTCTGTATGGGTTGCCAGTGTAGAGAAGCTAAAATAGGAGATACAGTATGTGCTCTCTTTTCCCAGTTTCAGTAAGTCTAGAGAGTCTCTGGAAATTTATTAGGGCAATCTGATAAAAGGGAAGTATACCAATCAGCCTGAGGGAACAAATGCATGGACTGGTTATTCTACATTGTCCTGAGGCAGAATATGCAGCTGACCATCGGGGAAATATAACTAGTGTGGTTATAGCTCAGACCATCTTTCCCTGAACTGAAAAACAGTTTGGTTAAATGAAGAAGATCAATGTGTAGGCCAAAGTAAAATGTCATCAACAGCAGTTCATTTTAATTTCATGGGGGGACAGACATATCACCAACACCCTACAACTAACATGAGCAGATTATATGCTTACTTAAGCATTACCCAGAATTCACCCCTCACACAGTCACACATATTTACTCCTTCAAATCACACAGTATTAAATCACCGTTCCAAACGATGCTCCTGCTGCAGGTTCTCACCAGGACTTAATGACAACGCCTTTAAATAATTTGCCCCAAATCCACCCAGGAGCCTATTTTCCCCTCAGACAGAATACACTATATAGTTTGACCCCCTCTGACAGGAAACGCAAGGTCAGCATTATCATGCACATAAACATGTTCATTTATGGTCCCCTGCTCATGGCTCATTGATTCAGAAATTGGGTGCGTTTTACACACACATACACGCACAATTTTAATGAGTTTCCCACCTCAGCCAGTGAAAGAAGCGTTGCGGAGGGGTGTTGGGGAATGAAGGCGTGTACATGGTCAATGTGAACACAGCACTGTTAAAAAGTCAATTAAAGAGAAACAAAGAAGGAAGGAAAGAGGAGGGCGGTGGGGAGGAGGAACTGTTTTCCCTCTGAGCTGTTTTCACTCGCAAGGCAGTGAGCAGCAAATGAGTGCAAAGATTATTTATAGGCAAATACGCAGCTCTCTGAAGGAAAAGACCAACAGTACAACTGTCTTTTCAGCAGATTTGACTTCAAACTCAGCTGCTGCAATTTACAGTTTCACACCAGCTCCCTGATTTACCCCAGTCCTCAAGAGGCAAACACTTCTCAAGTGTCTCAGAATCGCAGGACTTACTACTGTGGAAATAATCAGACTCAAACATAGACTGTTTTAGCTGCTGAATGTGTGCGCTTTAAATTCAATCAAGTGGTGACATGCACAGACGCTGTCAGGGTCAGAGCTTGTTGCAGAAGAAACTCGCACAGGGTAAACAAACAGACTGTCAAGTGCCTGTCCTCCTCAGTTGGTGGATTGATTTGGTATGTCAGGGGGTAAAAAATGCTCTTTGCCTCGTGTGTAATCTTGCAAACATATATCTCTATCCATGCAGCAATGATTCTCAATTATTTGCCAATAAGCTGGATTGGATGTCCATGACTCCTCCCGGAAAAAAAAAAGAAAAATCAATATTGAACTGGGCAGGAAACGTCCAGAGAGAGCAAAACAAAAGTGAAACCATCCCATCCCTGCTGCTGGTGCTCCTTCATCCTCCGCCCTGTCAGATCTCAGCGCTGACACATCCACAGAGCAGGGAGAGGAGCAGCGAACAGTCAGACGGTAATTTGTCAGCCTGTGAATGTGTGCAGAGAGGACACTTTTGTTTATCACATCACAGCGCTCTGTGCCCTGTCCTCACTGTGAGTCCCCACTTATTCTATTTGATGTTTTCATTACATGAACAGTCTGAGGCCTCTGATCCACTTTTCATTTAGCAGACCTCGAACACTCACTGTTCAGAAATCAGTCCAACTTTTATTTCTCTTGACCATGGACTTTGTTGAGGTTAACTCAGGACACAATCTGTTTAAATCCCAGTTTAAATGAAAGATTTAAACTAAAAAAAGCCTGACATCCTCACCCCTGCCAAGCTTGTTCACACAGAGACACATTAAACATTGATGAAAACCCACCTTTTGGCTTGGTTTCTTCAGTTTTCTGACAGAAAAAGAACCAGGGCTTTTATGGGGTTGTTTTGGTGGGTTTTAGCACATTTGTCACCACCTCAACTCAACCCAACCCAAAAAATGTTGGGGTGCTGGAGAAAATGTTGATCAAAACAAATTTAAATGGTTTGGTCTTTGATCAAAATAGTGCAAGCACATCATCTCAAATGTTGAATCTGAAGAATTGGATTGTTTTATAGAAAATTATGTACACTTATTTTACGTTCTCTTCAAATGTCAGGGGACTGCAAAGACCTCTTAGTAGATTGTTGAATTATGCTTTTGTTTATTTACTTCAACAGGATTTCAGCCGCCCAAAAGGTCATGGTCTCATTTTTTATTTTGTTTGTTTTAGGAAGTGCCAAATGTTGAATTGACTTTCAGCAAGGACAGCAGACAGGCCAGTTTGGCACCCAGACTCTTCCTCTACAGAGCTATGCCATTGTGATATATGCAGAGTATGGTTAAGCATTGTCTTCCTGAAATATGCAGGGCCTTACCGGAAAAAGAAATGGCAGAGAACAAAAGGATACTCACCTCTACTCTGCTGCTACTTAGTTTGAACAGTGACTGATTCTGCAAGTGCTGCAAAACCAGTGCTGACCCTTCATCCAATCCAGAGGCAGCGGGTCGAGTTGAACAGGCCAATCAGAGGCCACACCTGCATCAGCACCTAAATCAGCAGGCACACCCACTATCTGACTCAGAGAAACATCCAGACTCATCAGAGCTGCAGGAACAAGTA